CCCCCCCCCCCCCCAAGCTATCAGTTTCCGAACTAAATAGACAATTTAAAAAAGTGTAAAGCTTAGTTTTATTTCCATTTCGCTTCCTTTTCTCTCCTTCAACTCGAAAGAAAATTATAACCGAAGTTGTGTGCAGACCGCACACACCCCTGGAATGTTCAGAGATGCACCATAAAATTCATGCTGCACTCGTCGAAAAATAAATGTAACAGGGCAGACGTTTAGTGCAGACTTTTGCGCCCGCAATAGTAGAAATATGCGCAACCGAGTTTTTCCCGCGTCAAGAGAGGAGTCGGTCAGATAACTGTTCATAACGCCGAGGCCCCTCTGCGACTCAACTACGACATCAGTTTAATTACATTACTTTGACTGACTCATGTCGATAATAATAATAATCTCATGAATAAATGCGTTTTTATATCTGGTTATTATTACTCTGAACAGTATCATCAAAATAATCAACAAAATCTGGGATACTGAGATTATTTTTTAACCCAACGAAACTTAATTTTTCGATAAATTTTTACGGAATAATTTTTTTAATTCAGTAAAATAATTTTTTCCTTTTTTAAATGCACTAAATAAATTGAGGATGCGAATGTTATTTTTTAATCAATACATGGAATCGCTTTATTTATTTTAAATACATGGAATCAGCGATACTATTCATGAACCCAAAGGAACTTAAAAAAAAAAAATCAATTCAGTAAACCGAAATTATCTTTTTTGTGAGAAAATGTTTTTTCCATGCGAGTGATGCATCATAAATTTGATCGTGAATAATTATCATCACTCAAAATAAAAAATGAATAAATAAATAAATAGTTGATGAAGAAAACTGAGTCATTCTGTCATAACGAAAAAATATTTATAGAAACATTTTTCTCTCAAAAACTGATTTGTCCCCAATTAAATCAGTCTCATCGATTCTTAAAAAATTCCTTCGCTAGTTTCATCACCCCTGAACCATTATCTTTTGTTCCAGATGATGGAAGAGATTACGCAAGGCCCGCCGAGCAATACGGTAAGTCCATATTCCCTCGAAGTAGTAAATTCGCTGCATGGTTAGACAAAAGGTTGATGCGCATGGTAGTCCGCTGGCTGCGACCCACAAACTTCACCCGAATATAAAAAAAAATCCATTAACGGATTAATTTCGTTGAACCTAGTATTCTTATCGAGCAGTACAGTACCCCCTAATTCTCTCCTATTTCACTCGTCTGCTCTACATTTTGTGTCAGCGGAAATATCACTGAGGTAATTAATTAGCCGGAGTTACGAACTATTACAACACAAAGGGTAGATCAGACAATCGCTTGAGTTTCATAAATTTCTCATAACTCGCTCCATTTCGTTGACTATTTCTTCGCTATTTCACACTGTTTTCACACTCACGCTTCAGCTGATGATTTCAACAATTTCTCTCACTCGATGATTTTGCCATTTTAACATGATCTTTCACGATTAATCGTCGATTACATTTTTCTCCATTGAACTATTCATGATGTTGATGTGTGGTGCATCGTGTTGACGCACAATGCGGCTGTTCAAACTTGATGAGTGAAGACTTTCCTTTAACACACGTTTCAATCATTTTATTACACACTTGCTGTCTGCTCCGATACGAATCCACTGAGGAGTCATGAAATACGACACTTGTAAATTACGAAAAACTATTTTAAATATTCAGTAGCGAAGCAGTAAAACGATTCAAGTCAACTTGGCTGAATTTTCGAGGAATATCTCCGAATCTAAGAGAGATAGGTAAATTTTCATAATAATCTTTTTTGTAGATCTTCATCCGCTCTACCAAAAAGGTTCTGACAGAAATTTTGCTATCTGTCTTAGATTGCGAGATATACTTGAACCGTTTTACTCCTTCGGTAGTGAATTATTTCAGTGGTGAAGTGGTGAGAAAAGTCGATCAACAAAAATGATGAATATTTTTTGAATAAAATCATCTTTGAAAAAGATGTTTCATAATTTTTTTATACACTCACTTCCAAATTTTTGCCAAATTCTCTCTTCGGAATTTCGTTCCTGTTATCCACCACTTTCCCACTCCCTCTTAAAACACTATAAATAAACCCTCTACGATAATTTAATATTTGTACATTGATATCAACCAAATAAGTTTCCTCAACGTGTAAAGAACAATAAAACGAGGAGATGAAATAAAAAAAATGTATTATATTATACAGGGTTCTGTACTAACGTTCGTCTCTTTCTTTTTTGTTTTTTTTTTATCTGTTTTCTACTACTGCTCCCGCCTGTGCCAATGTCCCCGTCTCTTCAACTTCTTTTCAACAACTGTGGATAACGTCGTGGCCTCCAACGTCTGCCCGTCAACCTCCTCTAACAACTCACCTAAACAAAAATCGACCGACAAACGACAACCGGACGACACTAACGACCCGACGAACGCCCCCCAACCGCATTCAAATCAACCGCCAAAAATACCCGATCCATAAAACAGAGCGCCGAGCAAGGTCAGTCCCTCAAGTAGGTTTACTAGAGTCCACCGCGCGAACCTTCGTCGTGGACGGCGCCAGTACAGAGTACGCGACCCAGGTGGTGGGTAAAACCCTGGATAACGGTATCTATACCCGAATCCTAGCGACCTCGAGTCGCGTCTTCTACGACAAAGATAGCCTAGCCCCGGAGTCGGCGAGTCCCTACCTAGTGTATCCATCGAGAGTGGAGGACAAGTGGAAGGTACTCAACGGTGTTGTTGATGAGACACCACTAGTTCGAGAGGAGATCACCTCCTTCACCTCCTCCTCCTCCTCCTCCTCCTCGTCATCGTCGGGTCCCCAGAGCGATTCGTCCGACCGGGAGAACGACATCTTCGAGGTCCGCCGAGAGTTCAACGACCACCAGAAGTTCAAGCCAGCCAAGCCCAGAGTCAACCTGCCGACGTACACCGTCAAGCAGGAATTGACGGGTGCACAGGGCCCAATCGGCGGTGGTTACGACCACGAGGAGACAGAGGCCAGAAGCTACAGACCTAGAGTACCAAAGATCTTCAAGCCCCAGGCGATCCGCCTGAGTCAGAAGAAAGAGCCGACGAAGCCGTTGGCAACCGTCACCTACCATGGGTTCGCGGACTTTACTACGACCGTTGGAGACACCGTCATCGTGTTCTCTCCGTCAACGGCGCCACCCGCCGTTGGCCGAGCCGCCACGACGATTAAGGGGGACGCTACGCTGAGACCCGATGATGGAAATGCGATCTCAATTCAACCGACGAATGTTCTTCGCGGACAGGACAAGACGAGTGATCCTCTTTTGGAAGCCATCAATGGTCGGAGTTCGAGGAGAGAGAGCCTGAGACCTAGTGTGCAACAGCAGGAGGAGGAAAGCTCTTCTACGAAGCAGACGCCCATCCTCCTGGTGCCGACTGAGGAGATGAAGCCGACAGGACTTCTCAAAGTCGTTGACTCGACGACAGCTGTTGACGGCACCACAACTCACTACAAGAGCAGCATCTTCGGGACATACATCGGGACGAATTACGCGCAGATCATTCATACGTCCTCGAACGTGTATTTCTTCCCTGATGAAGCTACTGCGATGGCTGACGACTATGTTACCAGCAGACCGGAGGAGACAGAGGCTACGGAGGACAGTCTGACAACGTTCGTGACGGTAGAGTCGACAACTCCGTTGTCCGAGACGGACGCGGAGACTGCTGCGCCGGAAGAGAATGAGCTCACGACTCCGGTAGAAGACGTCCCAGAGGAAGTCAATTCCATCACGGTTATGAAGGTTGAGACGACAACGCCGATGGATCCAGAAATCCCTAATGATATCGTCGACCCTCAGGGCAGAAGCATCAAAGGAAACACGAGGAATCGTCTGGGAGAGGAGGGCAAGCCCCAGCAGTTCTCCACGAAGCTGCTTCCCTCGGAAGTTTACAAAACGTTCACGTACTACACAACATTCTTCATCCCAGACGAGACGAACGCGGATTTGACGACGACATCTGTCAGATCTCGAGAGGTCGTCTCGTCGGAGGTGACTTATCTGACGGAGTTGGTTCCCAGCGCAGTTGCTTCTAGTTCGGCCAGCGTCAGCCCAAGCAGTATTACGACTTTGCCGCCCCCATCAGCCGATTCAAAGATCGCCGGTGTCAAGGGGGAAGAGGACGAGCCGACAACCAAGCGCGAAGAGATTGAGCTGATCTTCAAGACGCTGTACACCACTTACACTTATCTGACGACTTTCTTCCAAGAGAGTACTTCGAGCGTTTCAAGTCGAGAGGTCGTCGAGACGAATGTAGTTACCCAGACAATCGGCCCTGATGGAATTTCCGGGGATGTGGTTGGCCTTTTCAACGACGACGTCATCATAACACCCACCAAAGTCCAGGAGATCCCCAAGACGACAGCAGTATCTGACTTCATCGAGAAGTCTGAAGATATTCTGACGACGACTGAGGATATCACCACAGAGCCATCGTTCACAACTCCGAGAGATGAGGAGGACGTGGTTGTGGACGTAATGTCTCAGCTGGAGCCCAGCCCTGTATCCACTTTGGTCCCAGACACCTTGAAGGCAGAAACCAAGACCTACTTCACGACCTACACGTACTTTACAACGATCTTCGTGGACGATGAGACGGAGATCGAAACGAGAACCGAAGTCTTCAGTAACATAGTGACCGAGCCCTTCGAGCCGACAGCTGTGGCGCCCCCTCCGGAAGAAACGGAGACCCCAACCCCGACGACTCCGAAGAGTCAGCCAGCTCCTCCGCCCGAGATCCTCGCGTACCTCGAAGCGCTGAAGAAGCAGAAGTCCCAAGAAGAAGCCTTGAAGGTCGCCAAGAAGGTCCAGGAATCCGTCCACCCTCCGACAACGACTCCAGCTCCAGAAGAACCCACGACGATTCCCATCACCACTGAAGTCCCTGACGACGTCACCGAGGCATCGTTCGAGGACGGTGAAGTTCTGGGCTCGATGATCACCGACGTCGTGTCTTCCTCGAGCTCCAGCGACGGTCCACTCCTGGAGCCGTCGATGGACAAGCGAAATGTGGGATCGATGTTCGAGGATCAGGAGCTCTCCGAGTCGAACCATCACGACGTCGAGCCCGCCCCAACCCTCCTCCTGCGGACGAGTTACACAACGTTCACCTACTTCACCACGATGTACAAGGGAGATGCCAGTAACGTAGTGTCGCGGCTCCAGACAGTGACTAACATCGTCACCGAGACGATCCGGCCCACGCCGGCTATGGAAATGGTGGAGCCGACAAGCACCCTCCCAGTGACGTATTTCACAACTTTCACCTACTGGACGACGTTCTACAAGGGTGGCGACACCATCACCACGAGCCGAGAGGAGACTGTCAGCAACATCGTGACACCCGGAGTGTCGCCAACACCAACAGTTCAGCTGGGCGTCATCATGACTTACAGACCGGACACCGACGAGGAAGATCTGGCGACCGAGAAAGCGATCACTGATAACGAAGTGATGCAGCATGATAAAGCAACTGCCCAAAAGGGCGTCGTGTACGCCGTCACTGAACCCGAAGGGACCAAGGCCGACGTAGTGGAGAGTTCTACCATCAGCCCAGACCCTACGACGTACTACACGACCTTCACATACTTCACGACATCATACATCGGTAACGAGACAGTCCTTAACTCGAGGCTGGAGACGATCACGAGTGTTGCGTATCCCGGGGAAGTGTTGAAGGCCACAGGAAGAGCGATTGGATCACCGGTGTCGAAGGTCCAGGAGCTGGAGACCGAGGAGAAGGCGAGAACCGTGAAGATAGCGCCGACTAAGATCGCTGAGGAACCCAAGACTGGTCTGATTTCAACGATTAGATCCAGCGCGGTTGACGACGGCACTACGACGCACTACCTGACGGACGTTTATGGAACGTACATTGACGGCTTGTACGCGCAGGTGGTGCAGAGCACAACCAGCCTGGAGTCCCACTCATCTCCAACGGTCGTGGCTCCTGTGTTTACGACACCATCGTTGACAGCAACTCCGGCTCTTCCAACGGGAGTACTGTCCCTGAATAAAGGCAGCATCGTCGAGGCGGACGAAGTGACGACCATCTACTTCACGACGAGTCAGCTGGGAACTCTGATCGACGGACTCTATGCCAAGGTGATAGAGAGCACTTCGAGCACGAAGATTGACGCAGACAAGAAGCTCCAGCTGAAACCGACGGAGGAGCGTCACCGAACGGGCCTCGTCAGGCTCATAAAGGGACAAATCGAGACCAACGGATCAACGATTGTCTACCAGTCGAAGGTGATCGGCACGAATATCGAGGGAAGGTACGCCCAGATCATCGAGAGCACCTCAAGTTATCTTCTGGGTTCCACCGACAGGATCTCACCGACTGCGACTTCGTCAGCTGACGTTACGAAAGCCCCCGACGTGCTCGCGCCTTCTCCAGCTGTCATTCAGTCTTCCATACCGGAGAATCACAGCAATAACGAGGATGAGGATGAAAACGTGGAGGAGAACGAAGAAGATGAGGAGGAGAATGAGGAGGAGGGCGAGGACGACGATGGCAAGACGAAGAAGAAATCAAGGTTGACGTTCTCCAGTCGCAAGCGCACCTTTACCCCCGTCATTCGTCCTTTCTTGTCCAGAAGCAGACCGACGTTCAACCCCAAGAGGAAGGGGGCGCAGGCTGCGACCACCATCACCAGAACGGACATCACTCCGACGATAACAGCAACACTGGCTGGTACCAAAAGCAACAGATTTGCATCGTCGCGAGGAAGAGGAACGCCGTCGGCTGCAGCTGCTGGAGTTGTGAGCTCCTCGAGACGATTCTCGGGGAGACGGGGCTCTAGCGTTCCGCCACAAGCGTCTTCGTCGATTGCTGCCAACTCGAGAGGACGACAGTCATCGCGAATCGCTCCCTCTCCTACGTTCTCTGTAAACCGACGAGGTCCTAGCTCCATTCGAGGATCATCAGCCAGACCGTTAATCAGAGGATCATCAAGCTCAGGCTTCCCTGGGCCTTCCAGTAGAGGCTTCCGCGGGGGTATCAGACCATCATCGACGCTTCCCAGATCACCGCAGTCGGCGAATCCAACGCAATCGTACAGAACGGACGATCAGGAGGACGAGGCCAACGAGTTCACTGCGACGACGTTCGTCACTGACGAGACACCTTACTCCACCATCGACGATGAGTTCGGCGAGACCATTACAACGATCCCAGTGAAGACGACGACCGAGTCCTCGAGGAGATCTACCAATCCTCTCTTGAGATTCAGAAGACCGAATCAGTTGTCTCGAGGACCTCCACCAACGCGAAGAACAACGACGACCCCCAAGCCGACGTCACCTGCGAGAGCCTCAAATGCTCGGTCCCTCAATGCTCCGCCATTGAACAACAGATTCCGTGGGAACAACCGATTATTCCCCCCTCGCAACTTCGTCAATCAACCGACAACCGACCCTGACGGCGGAGAGTACGAGACTACCGAGGTGCCCGGCATCACGGACAAGAACTTCGACGATGAAAGACCAGTAGAAGAGATTGTTGATAATGACTACGAAGGATCGGAGAACAACAAGAGGAGACGAATCGCCACGACGACGACGCCCGCGCCCCAGAGACAGGCCTACGGAAACAGATTTGGCGGCCAAAGGAGAAGGGTCAGGCGTCAAGCGAGTCAGCTGCGGTCCTACCAGACCAACAGATACAGAAGACCAGGGACACTGGCATCCGCCGAGGACAGATCGGACATCGACACTTCGAGCAGCAATGACGAGTCCCTAAAGACAAACCGATCTCCCTTCAACGGTAGAACGCGACCTCTGACATCGTCAGCCCGTCCGCTGCCCAAAACCAGCAGTGAGAAATACTCGTCTGGGGAGTCTTCAGAGGCCTCCAAGTCCCGTCGCAGGCCGGCAAGCCCCCGGGTGAAGCCGACCCCAACGACATCCTCAGGGCGGCAGTTCACCCTGCGCGAGAAATCCCCGAGTAGTTACAAGAGAACGTCAGTAGCGTCTAAAGGGAACTTGAGGGGATCGAACAGTCCACGGGTCAGAACTTCCACCAGAAGAACGGATTCCGCGGAATACCGGCGAGGCTCGACATCGCGAGCCCCCACCAGAGCACGAAGCCCCAGCAGAAGAGTTACTCAGAGAGGCCGGGGATCCAAAGAGGATTATTCTTACAAGGACGACGGGACCATCACAGTGACTCACTACGTTCCCACCCAGGCGACGATCCCAATTTTCACGAATGGCGTGACAGAGCACCGGAATATCATCACCGCGAGTCCAAGTATCGAAGTCCTGGGACCAGAGAGGTACAACACCGTCAACGGCGGGGATGGCCTACCCCTCCTCGTGATAGCGTCCGAGTCGTCCGCGGTGAACCTGAATGGTCAGACGGAAGTAACGCGATTCCTCCTCCACACAACTCCCACTAGTCGCGTGTCCCACACCTTAACGACAGTCAACGGAAGGAGAGTTTCACAGTCCCTGATCGTTCCGTCGACGATCTACTCAGTTGAGAACGTCGTGTCGACGATTCCAGCAGCACTGCCGGGTGGCAACGCCCCCCTCGCCAATATCCTCCTGTCGCAATTGCTTCTCGGACAGTTGGGCGGACAGAACGCACTACTCGGTCCGAACGGCGCCGGTGGCGCCGCCACGGACGTGACGCCAACCACCAGCTACAACACTAGAACCACGTCTTACGTGACTACAATCACGAAGCAGAGGAGTACAGTTATTCCCCTGACCTTTCGCGGAAAGGAGATATTCACGACCCTCACGGATTCCTCCACCAATGTCATCACAGCAACAGAGTTTATCACAGATACAGTTGTGGTGACTCCAACCGCGGCTTTTCCAAACGCGAACTTAAACTCTCTTCTCTTGCTTCTTCAACAGCAGCCGCAGGCCTCGCAATTCCCGCAACAGCCTCAGCTGCAAGATCCCCTTTTCGCAGCGGCGCCGATCTTCACACAGAGTAACTCTCTCCCTGGGGAGCTTGAACGAAGGTACCAACCTGCCGACCTGGACTACAGACCTGAGGAGGAGCCTTCCCTCGACGCTGAAGACTTCGACAAGCCGGTGAAACAGCGGGCGAAACTACAGAAAAAAGAGACCCTTGAAACGAGTGTCGTGACTCTCTACGTCTCCGGGAAGAGACCAGGGGAGTTCAGCACAATTCTGTCGACAGTCAGAGTTGGCGAGGACTCGACAGCCTCCAGAAAGCGCAGGGACCTCATTCAGGTTCAACCGTCGATACCTCCATCGCTAATCGCCAATTCCGGGGCGGAATTGAGCAGGCTCAGCCCCAGCGAAGAGTCCATCAACGCTCATTCACCCACCCAGAGTCTTGAGAGCGTTGTGGGTGACGTAGGACGGCACATCTCCACATCTATCCGTGCCTGAATCCCATACCCGGTTCCCTCATTCCCATTATAATTAAATTAAGACAAAACTCGAAGCTGAACATCTTCCGAAACCGAGGAATTCCGTCTCAACTAGTTCTTGAATACTCATTTGTTGGAGCTCCACAGGAAAATGTCCGGCTTCCAGGCTCAAATAACTAAGAATTAATACTCCTTTCGAAGTTAATCTTATCACTCGTCGAAATCTTCATCTCGCTCTCCTGTCCTCACTCTATTTACTATTAATCAATTAACAAATTGGAATGCTCTGATCCCAATTCCCTCACACAATGAACTCATTCATCCTCCCCTTCCCCCTCATTTCCCGCCGCACGCGCGCCCACACGACAACCGAAAAAGCGTCCAATGCATCAATTGGACGAGATAGCAAAACAAAAGCTACAAAACAGAAAAAATGGGGAAATTTGAAAGGAAAAACAACCATTACGCTTTTATCGCTGCCTTAGCTTGTTTGCCCCTTTAACGGAGGTAACGGATAAACCCTTTGGTGATTGACAAACTGTAATATCGAATTTGTGGGGAAAAAACGAAGAGACAAGAGAAGAGAGTCGCTCTTTTCAGATGAGCCTATTGGGGAGTCATTCTTTGGCCAAAAGTATCCGATTGATGAGCTTGATGCTGATTTGGATGACTATCCTGGTGTTAGAAGGAAAGTTGTCAGAATTCCGATTGTCAGAACCACGGAAAAGCACAAGTACACGGTTGTGAGACGACGACCACTCGTTACCTACGCAAAACCATCACCAGTCGCTGAGGAAATTCAGCAGACTTCTGCCCCGAGACGGATTGTCGTTACGAGGGTTCGCAGTTTGGCTGCTAGGTCTCGTTATTTTTCGAACTACGACGCGAATTATTACGACGAACCTGGGGACTTTGACGTCCCTAAGAGGCACAAGGTGACTATCACGAGGACGCGGAAACTGAAGCCGACGGCCAGGGTCGAGCCTAGGACGACGCCGAGGAGAGTCGTCAGGAAGAAGTTGGTTAATGTGAGACCGATTATCACGCCGACTCCTACGTACGCTATCATCACCACTGGATTCTATGGGATTTCCAGCTCTGTGGACAGCGAGGAGGACTACGAGAGTGAGGATGAGACTGAGGGAACTACACCAGGAAGTGGTGAGAATGACGGTCGGTTGGTTAATGACATCGATGAGACTGCGAAGGTTCCTCTCGAAGCCAGCAGAGAAATCGGGCAGACTGAAGAAGGAAAGGCTGAAGATATTGCGAGCACAACTGAGAGTACTCCAGTCATCATCACCGACCACTTCTTCTTCCCCGCTTCAGACGACGAAGACGAGGATTATGGAGAGGATGAAGACGTGAAGTCCCCTGAACAAACTACCTTGAGTAACGATCAAATTCTGGAGGAGAAGACTACTCTCAAGCCTGTCGAAGTGGTTTCTGAAGATTCGGTTACTGCGAGAACAACGGAGAGCGTTTCAGAAGAAACTACGGCTCTTGGAGTTGAAGAATCTGAAGAACAAACAACGGTGAAGGTTGTTGAAGACCAAACTTCACCTCCGGAGATCGAAGAAGAATCGTCTAAAGGGGATGAAGAGCAAACTTTACCTCCGGAAGTCAAAGAAGAATCGTCTAAAGAGGATGAAGACCAAACTTTACCTCCGGAAGTCAAAGAAGAATCGTCTAAAGAGAATGAAGACCAAACTTTACCTCCGGAAGTCAAAAAGGAATCGTTTAAAGAGGATGAAGAGCAGACTTCACGTCCGGAAGTCAAAGAGGAATCCTCCAAAGAGGATGAAGAGCAAACTTTACCTCCGGAAGTCAAAGATGAATCATCTGAAGAGAATGGAGAACAGCAAGGAGACCACCAGCAAGGAGGAAACGAAGAAGGAAAAGAAGTTGAAAAAGAATCGCAGGAAGACCTTCCAACAACAACAGAACTGACGATTGAGGACTCCCTAGAGCCCTCGCCATCCCCAGACCCCCCAGAGTCAACATTCTCCAACGATTCCGTTTCATCATCAACGACAGAATCTTCTGATGATCTGACAGTGATCCCCCTCGAGTCCTCCCTCGAAATCTCGCCCACATCGACCCTCGATTCTGAAATCCTCACCGTAATCCCTCTCGAGTCCCTCATCTCCCTTACGGAAGAGATAACTCCAACATCGACAATTAGACCACCCGACGCATCCCCAAACACGACAACCGTTGTCTCCTCCTCCCCCACCCCCGAGGAAATTGAGGCTGGCCTCTCCGACGAGCTCTACCTCTCCCTCTCGCGCCTCAATATCCCCGATATATCGTCCTCTCGGGATGTTGAAGTAGAGGAGAAAGGCGTCGAGGCGACACCGACAGTTGTCTTCTCAGAAACTATTGTCACATCCACTCGTTTGAGGACTTACACTTATGTTGTGACGAAATTGAATGGACTGGAGACCGAGGTGACCTCCTCCACGACAGTCAGACCTCGCGTTACGACACTGACACTCACTGTCCCCATAACAATTACCCCTTCCACCAACGTGGATTCCACGAGCTCCAGGACCATTATGACTGATCATTTGGAAATTGGTAAGTATTTTCCCCCAGTGAACTCTTCAAAGATCGTTTTTTTCCTCTGATAATTATTTTCGATTGGTTAATTTTGGTGAGGAAGGGGTGAAGCGCAGGAGGCGAGTCCACAATTGAGGATTATTTTGAAAATATCCAGAGAGCGAACGGAGTCTGCGAAAAAAGTGTCTTGAAATTTTTTTTTTAACTCACTAGCTTCGAAGATATTCGTAAAATTCGGTAGACTCTCGCTAGTTGCTCAGCGAAAGGGCTGTAGGGGTACCATTTCCAAGAAATTAGCAACTTTCCACCGGCCCCCACTCCTCAACTACTGCCGACTCAAGTTCTCAGAAAAATGAGAGGGAATGAATAGTTTCATTTTCGAATAAAATTATTTGGACTTCTGTGTTTACGTACAAAAGACAAAAGAAAGTGATAAAGTGGCCGAGAGTGGGCGTGTAATTAGCGAGAGTCTACTGTACTCGTCGTTCTTCACCCCTCACTACAAATTTGTACAAAACATTTTCTATTCCTTGAAGACTGAATAAATCTATTTCTTCTCTTCCATTTCTCGTCTTCAATTAATCTCTTGGATTATTGTAAATATTGTACATTTGATCGGACTTGAGTTGTATATAAACTATTCTTTAGAATAAATGAATGAGCAAAACGGATGATCAATTACTGAGGAAATACAGAAATGTTTCACGATTGACGATGACGATTAATGGGAGTTTTGATGCAGCAGGAAATTCTAATGTAGAATTTAAAATGCCGGAAGAGGGTGAGGGTAGACGCCTCAACCTGGCGACTAGGATTATGTCCAATGGGGTGGAGGTAATTGTCGCTGGGCCAACGCCGGCCTTACGATGGGAGAATTCCAATCCTCAGCCGACGTTGACCCTCTCGGATGCTGTGGTCATGATGATGCCTCAGGAGGATCCTAATGAATTCGTTACGAAAACCTGCACAACAACTTTCACGTATTTAAATACAATAACGAAGGATGGAACGACAATTGTGTCGACCGATCAACAGGTAAAATTAGGAGTGATTGAGACAGACAAGGGTGCCCAGATACTTGTTCGCTAGGAAAATTGTTCGCCGGAAAATTGTTCATCATTTCAGTAGCGAAGTGGTCCCGGGGAACATTTCTCCTAGAACAAGTAGTAAAACCGTTTCGAGTCAGCCATGATTGTCCCATCAACTTTGTCCAGGTGGTAGCAAACACAGCAACAGAGGAGCGTCACCGAAAGCCGGGTTCTGAGTCGGCTGCAGTGACCCTAGAAGCCTCTCCCACTTTGAGAACAGAGGTCTTCAAAACCACCTACACATACCTGACCCTCAACGCAGAGCATCCCAACGCGGATGATGCCCTTGGGAGCAGTCAGAAGGTGATTGCCAATACAGTGACAGCACCCCAGCACTACCTGGATATGATTCTGGAGCCCTCAGAGTCGCATTCACCAGCTCAAACGAATACTTATCTCAGCACCAGGCTTCTCGAGAAGACATTCGTCGAGGATGGGGTGACGAAAATAGCGACAATGAGTGATACCATTACTCGAGTGAGTATCTCCTCAATAACAATACATTTTTGATCCATTCCATCACTTGGGAATGTTATATTTTGAAAATGAGTTGTTAATGTATGTTAAATAGTATTTTTCTGGCCTGTTGCGATGGGGTTTTTTACCCCAAAATTACCCCAAGTAAAAAAACCCCATCGCAACAGCCCAGGAACAATATTTTTCTGTAGTGATTTTCAAGTTTTCGAGTTTGGGAAGTATGTAATACCAATTCCCAGACGAGAAATCGTGAGAAGCAGTACAGAGAATTCGATTTCGTTAAGAGCAAATATTTTTACCCGAGAGACTCAAATATTACAATTTAGTTGAATAATCATGGATTAGTTCACAACTTTACGAAATTCAGTGTAAATTAATTAATAATAATAATGATATTATATATTATAATAATTTTATAATATATAAGAATATTTGAGAAATTTAAATAATATCTTGTGACGTGTGGAGATATTCACACGTCGATTTTATTCAATTAATATTTTCTAGATAGAAAAAGTCCCAAATGCTCAATAAGCAGTCTCACGGTGACACCTGAGTCCAGCTTCTCAGAATGGAGCTGTTTGATTGTCTTAGCCATTGTCAGTGATGGACATATGGCCGTGTTAGTTAGAAAAACCGTGAGAACACTTATTTAGCATTTTCGGCCAGCAACGACTTTGAAGCTCTGGAATAGGGCAGAGTACGGCAGGAGTTGAAGATGGACGGACGTCCTCTCCTAGCCAAAAATCTATAGTAGATCCGCGTCGAAACCGAACCCATTTAACAGTTGATTTTATACTTTACCTATCTATTCAATATACTGTCAATTATTAATGTAACAGTGGTGCTCGATTGTTTTATACGAAGAATACCTAATCAAATCCTATCCTAGTCGCGTCACGTTAGATCTTGAGAGAAATCCGCGTGAGCTCTGACCGTAGCTAGTTGAGCAAAAGTTTTTGAGTCGACTGGTGACTCAATTAAGGGAGGTAGAAAACCTCTCACGTCACAATCTGATAAATATTATTCATTTTTATATTTCAGAATCTAAACATAATTTGAATAATATAATAGAGTGTGATATCTCATAATAATATTTTTCAAATTATGTTTAGATTCTTAAATAACATAGAATAAATATTTCGTTTCGATACGAAACAATGGATGTGATCAGTCTTCATTCCCTGATTTACTGCCTCAGTTAATTATCACCGAGTCGGCGCCCCCTCCGCCCCGTCCGACCAGCGTCACCACGACCTTGACCGCCCTGGACAGCCCCGAGGACTCCCTAACCGACATCATGAAGACCTACTACATCACCTACACCTACGCCAACACGTACCTCGAGAAAGGGACGCCTGTGGTCCGCACCAACGTGGCGACCTCCACCGACGTCACCGTGGAGAAGGTCCCGAAGAAGACGTCGGCCCCTCAGGATGCGTCCCCAATGACCTCCACAGCGAACTCAGACCCCATCAAGATTTTCGCCACGAAGACCTACCTGACGACCTTCACCTACTTCACGACCCTCCTCCAGGCGGGAGCGGACGGCGAAACCTCCACGACGATTTCCTCCCGCTCCCACGTGGTGGAGAACGTCGTCACCGAGTCGATCGCCCCGAGTCTGCTCAACTCTGGGTACATGAATCTGTTGACGACGACTCATCGGTCAGACCCGGTGCAGAACATCGTCACGGGGTCCACGATAATCTTCTTCGATGACGAGGACCAGATCTATCCGTCGTCTACTACTAGCCATCCGGCGCCCTCGGCTTCGCTGGATCTTTCGTCGGAACACACTAGTGAAGTTCCAGGTAATACTCCAGAGAATAGGGATCTTGCATCATTTTTTAATTTTTTTTCATTTTTAAGAATGTCGAGCCCCATTTGACCCCAACTTTCCGGACATTTCACAATGATTTTATCATTTAAACTTTGCTGGTCTGAATTGAAATCTCGATATTGAACCGTTTGAAAACATTTAAGAATTTGAAAAAAATTAGAAAGTTCGGAGGAAGATTGACGAAATAATTAAAAAATTGCAATATTTGCAAATTATGAGCATTTTCTATAAATATTTTGTAAACATTCATTTTTCCAGCATAAAAATCATTTGTTGGAAATTGTAACAAATTTCTTCATATTCACAATTTTACAAGAAATTGATTTCATGTCTAAAAAAGTTTTCCCACAGCTGAAACAATTCCAATTATTATTAAACAATTTTAATGGCTGAACAGAAGACTGTCAAGGTTTAAATTGAAATTTCCAATTTCCAAATTACCACTTTCACTCTCAACTCAAGACTTCTGAAAATCCCCCTTCAAGACCTCTGAAATCATTAAAAAAATCATGAAAAAAAGAAGTTACAGAAAAAAGAAAAAAAATTGATATCATAGAAGAAATTGATATCATGTCTAAAAAAGTTTTCCCACAGCTGAAACAATTCCAATTATTATTAAACAATTTTAATGGCTGAACAGAAGACTGTCAAGGTTTAAATTGAAATTTCCAATTCCCAAATTACCACTTTCACTCTCAACTCAAGACTTCTGAAAATCCCCCTTCAAGACCTCTGAAATCATAAAAAAAATCATGAAAAAAAGAAGTGACAGAAAAAAGAAAAAAAATCATGAAAAACGTTTCACTTTTCGTGTCTCCCCAGAGGACTCTGGTTCGAACCCCGGCGTAAATCCAGACCCCGATACCGACAAAACCGACGACATGGAAGACTCCGAAGTGAGTGCCTCCGAGACGGACGAGGTCCAGTCCGACCTGGAAGACGGTCCGGAGCGTCCCGTATCCGGTCTCCTGAGCCTAGGCTCCCTCGGGATCAACGGCCTGTCCGCCCTCGGTCCCGTGATAACCGCGATGGCGGGTCTTCTCCAGGGAAAGCCGTCCCCCCCCAACCGCCGGAACGACACGGCCCTCCCGACGACCGCACCCCCACCGCCAAGCGAAAACGGAAACGCGAATGCAAACGTTAACGGTAATATCAATCACTTGAGCCAAATAACAACCCAGCGGTCCCCGATCTACATCCCCGTCTCGGAATTCGCGGACGGGGACATCGAGGCAGCGGAGAGTCAGAACATAGTCACCCAATTATCAAACCCCAACTTCATCCCGGAGACGAGGCACAAAGTGGCCGCGAGTCTGGTCGACGGGATCCCGATATCCCCAGGCGAGATAATAACCGCGAACAGTGACGTCATCATCGGAAAGCCGGGAAAGCTCTCGCCGCGCCCCCCGCAGACGTACGAGGACAGCGGGGAGGTGGGTGGTCTGAAGCCCCCGCCGGTATCAGTGCCAAACATCCCAGTGCACCCAGTCCTCGAGGTCCTGAGGGACGAGGACGAGCCCAAGCCGTACCCCTCCCTCCCCCAGAAGAAGATCTCTGACTTCCTGACGAAGAAAACCCCCCCGCGAACATCCTCAAAGCACGATATCCTGGAGAACGATCCCCTGCTACGACCCCCAGGTCGACCGAACATTGAGAAATACGCGAACCCCAACATAAACCACAAGGAGCCCCAGTGGCTGTCCGATAAATCGCGGAAGCCCTGGAGCTCCAAGGACCCGATAATCCTGCCGCCTCCCCCGCCCTCGGCGCCCCCGACCCCGTCGAGAATCGACAGTCTTCCCCACGTGTACCACCGCCCGGAGGAGGGGTCAAGGCCGCCGTGGGCGCAGAAGGATCCGATCGTGACTGTAGAAACTTTAGAGAGCTATTCTCACGGCGAGCAAATTGCGACTAAACGCCCGGAGTCGCCCGAGTCCTCTGAGCCGATAATCCACCAGGTGCCCCACGTGATCGACAGGTCGACGGGGCAGCCCCTCCTGGTGAACATCCAGCCGAGTCAAGTGGCCAACGTCGTCATCCCCCAGGGAGGAACACAAGCCCTGATATTCGGGGACACGAGTGAACCGCACATCAGTGGACAGTACTTCGACGATCCCTCGCCGTACCCCGAGCCCGAGGTGGGTCCGGGCATCGATAAACTCGAGGACAACCTCTCGCACTACATGCTGCCCCCTCCCAACCCCTCGGGGAGCTTCAAGCTTCCTGGGAATAACTTCGTCCACACGATACCGATCTCAAACTCGAAGATCCAGGGGAATTTCTACGACATCGTCAAGCCGGAGAAGACGCCCTCTGACATTAGATTGATCCAGCGCCCGGACATCCATGGCCAGAGCCAGGGGCACGTGCACACGGAGATCCTAGTGCACCATTCGCCCGACAACCTGCACTTGAGGCAAACACCCCAGGGAAATCAGAACCAGATCAGTCAGGGCTCGATTTACGTGGATTTGTCGCCTCCCCCGCCCCCCAGGATGGACTACCACAAGCCTCCGGTGAACATCGAGCACCTGCCCCCCAGGAGGAGCGAGCCACCGACCCTGGAGTACCCTACCCACAACTTCCACAGGTACAACTACCACAGCCACGAGAAGCAGATCAACAAGACGTTGGAGAACGAGGTCCTGAAGCAGAAGTGGAAGAGCGACAGGCACAAGACTCGATTGCAGCACCGTCCGAGGCCTGCGGTAGTCAGGAGGCCTTACCCACCTCACGGCCCCAAGATCAAGTTCCCCGGGAGGCCACAGCCGCCGAAATATCCGCAGGTTCCCATCGAGAACCTCCACAAATTGGGCAGTAATAATAATAAAGAGACTCAGGAGAATCTGCCGACTGGGGCGATTGGCTACCAGCACCCCTTGACCCACATTCACCACCACCACCATCACGTGGTGCACCCGCAGCAGCCCCAAGTGGTGCAGCTACCTCCGGACATCAGTCCCCCAGAGATCCAGAGTTTCGGGCAGATTCTGCCACCTGAGAATGAGCCTGAGAACTGGTCTGGCACGCAGACGGAGAAGACGATCGACTCTGCGGCGGAGGAGTCTGAAGACAGGCCGATGGAGTACTACAGTGGGGCGGGAGGACAGGAAGGACAACAGGAGGTTCAAGGAAATCAGGAGATTTATCAAGAAGAACAGCAGGGACAGAGACAAGAACAGGAACAGGAGCAAACGTCTTCCCCTGCTCCAGTCCTCCAGATCGAGGAGAGTCATATGGTGACTCCAGAGGAATCTCCATCGACTGAAGTGTCTGCTGGTGAAGGATCGAACACACAATCAGACTTCTACGATTACGAGGTCCAGGTGCCTCCGGGAAGCCAGGAGGCTCCCACAATTCATGAAGACGATGAACGTCAGGAACACGAAGACTCCCCCGATGACCAAGGCCACGAAGACCGTCATCAGGACCACGTGGAGCATCCCCAGGAGCCCCCGACGGACGCCCCCGACTACGAAGTGATCGAGGGAGTTCCAGTCCCCCAATTCGACTCCAAGCCTTCCTACGAATTCCCCCCTGACGACACCATCGACCTGAAGCCCCCGGCGGAGCCTCCAAGAAGGACATCCTCAGATCACCCCGAGGACTCCATCCAGACCTACCCGGAGCCGCCCCCGCCCGGAGGTCACGCTCGCCCGCCGTCTCACTGGGGCGACGAGAGTCAGCCGACGTACCCGACCCGCAAGAACCTGACGCAAGTCCCCCCGACGTACTTGAGCGCTCACCCGAGCCCTCCGCCGAATCCCCCAGCGAACAAGAAGTACGTCAACACCGAGGTCCTGAGGAAGCCAGAGCAGTCAGCGAACCTAGCGCCCCGCCCACACCCGGCTTACCCGTACATCATCACGAAGCCCCCGGGCGTCCCCCGCCCCGTGATGATCTCCTCGGACTCCACCAAGAGCAACCCGGAACTCCCCAAGGACCGCAGGCCCCCGCGACCCATCGTGATGCCGGCGATGCACATCAACAAGGAGAAGGCCCCGGAGACCCTGGAGACCGCCTTCCAGACGAACTTCGCGTCCGCCGACGACGACGCCCTCCACGTTCCCCAGTTACCGAAGACCCAGCACCAGCAGAAGCAGCAGAGCCACCACAGGGTCGACTCGAAGGTCCCCTCCGAGGACATGATGCCCCCGCCGCAGGTGAAGCCCCTCCAGGAGGCGAAGAACCCTGAGGATGACGACCTCAAACCTCCACCAGCTGACACTGGGGTCCTGGGCATGTCGCCCCCGCCGGTCTCGCTGACGTCAGCCAACGGGCGGCCGCCCCCCAAGTACATTCCCCTGAAGGACACCAACAAGGTCGTCGGGGAAACACCACCCCCTCCCCCNAACCGAGTTACTCGATGGTGCCCCCGACGTACCCGAGGCCGACCAAGTCCCGTCCCTTCCTGGTGCAGCTGCTCTCCCAGGACATGGTGCCGCCACCACCCGCGATCGAGTCCTCGAGGATTGAGATCGCGACCGTGAGACCCGCGATCGCGGTCTCGGGGTCCATTCAGATCGGGACGGCTGTTGCCACGAGCCACATCCCGGTGATGCAGGACGTCGAGTCGACGATTCCAATCGTCCACGGGACTGTGGATCTGCCGGTTGTCGTCGACGTGTCTGATCTCATGAAGACGATTACGGAGACCAGGAAGCCGGAGCTGATCAGTGTCTACACGGTGCGGCCCTTCGAAACGAGGCAGATGGCGTCGAAGGTGTCGGTCCAGCCGACGCAGATCCTGACGACCCTGGTGATGCCGACGAGGATCAGGACGTCGCCGAGCCACCGGGAGACGCACAAGAAGATCACCGCGTCATCGGCGAGGCCGCAGGTGCACATCACGAGGGTGAACCCGGCGTTCGGTCGGAAGTCGGTGATCCTCGAGGGGAGTCGTCACACCGTCGCCCCCAGGATCTCGCCGACGCCGACGAAGTCCCTGAACCACTTCGCGTCCAACTCCACCACCTCCAGGATCGTCGATATCACGTCGGTGCGACGAGGGTCGTCCACCCAGGTCCACGTCGACAGCTTCACGGAGATGAAGCCCAAGGCGGTGACTCACTTCAAGACATTAACGGTCACCCGGACGGAGACGTCCGTCGTGGGGTCGCCCCCGACGACGCGGACCCTCCTCCTGACGAGCACGATAACGTCGACGATCGTGGAGACCGTCACGGAGACGCTGCTGCGGCCGACGAGTGTTGTCGTCACCTCGGTGACGACTGTCCTCCAGCCGGCGCAGTCCACCGCGAGTGTCTACGACACCTACAACTCCCCAGACAACCTCGACTCGATCTTCGTGGTGATGTCGGACCAGAACCCACCGTCACCGGGGGCTGAGGAAGTGGAGGCCGAGTACGGCAGCGAGGAGGAGGTCTCCCGGGATGAGCAGGACGCAGGGGGCAATGAGATCCACAGGGTCCTGTCAGGAGGCATCCTCGGGGCGCCGGTGGTACCGTCGGTCTCGCACCCCCCGAACCCCCGGGAATGCAAGCCCGAGTGTCGAGGGTTCAAGTCCGAGGTGTGCGCCACGGTGGCGGGTAACCCGCGATGCGTCTGCCGGCCAGGGTTCGCCAGGATGTTCCCGGATCGCCCCTGCAAGCCGACGTACACGTACACCATGAAACTCCCCCTGGAGCGGGTTGGAAGGGAGGAGATCAAGTACGAGAAGATGGGGCTGAACAACACGTCGTCGTCAGGGTTCAAGCGGCTGCTGTCGTCCACCCGAGAAGCCCTGGACCGCACGCTGATGCAGAGCGATCTGAGGGACATCTACAGGGGCGTCGTCATCACCAGGTTCCACAAGTCCGAGGATCACCCCGCGGAGGTTGAGTTCCACGTGCAGTTGACGGACAACGCGCACGAGACCACCCTGAAGGAGACCATGAAGAAGTACCTGATGTCGAGTAACTACTCCTTGGGGGGAACCCACGTCTTCGCGTCGCCGAACCTCGCGATGATCGACGCCCGGGACTTCGACGAGTGCTCCACCGAGGAAGGCGGCCCCCACCACGACTGCTCGCCTCATGCCGCTTGCTTCAACATCCGGGGGTCCTACCAGTGCTCTTGCAGGGAGGGGTGGGCAGACTTGTCGGAGAACCCGTCGTACCCTGGGAGGATGTGCTCGCAGGCGCCGCTGGGCTGCCCCAGGTGCAACAACAAGGGAAATTGCATCGGTAATTCCTACGGGCAGGAGGTCTGCGAGTGCTTCCCCTGGCACAGCGGTCAGCGCTGCCAGGTGAACCTGAAGGTCCTGCTGATAGCGCTGGTCACCACTGGGGCCATTCTCCTGGGGCTGTTGGGGGTGTGTCTCGCCCTCGCCTGCTTCAGGGCCCCGAGGCTGTCCGCGCATAAGTTGAAGAAGGGGAGGCTATCCGGGGATAAACGCGCGATGATTTCGAGTGGGAATGGAGGGGATACCAGTAGTGAAGGGAGTGTGACGGATCTGGCGATTCCTCATCATGTACCGCATGTTCTGCCGCCTCCTCCGAGGGCTAATGCCCCGGTGCCGCCGCTACCACCGGCTCCGCCGAAGGAGCAGAAGGCGGGAAAGGGTAGGCATAATTACGCTAAACATCATCAGAACAAGTATCCTGGGGAGGTGGGGGGAGAGGACCAGAGGGGACTGAGTGTCATGATTCCCAGGGCCAAGTACAGGTCGATGGGCCAGGGGCAGTACAAACAGCCCATCACGTCGTTTTCAGCTGATGAACACAAGTTGATTAGTTATCTTGAGGGGAGTAACAGGAAACAGAGTCTGGCTAGCACGACGAAGGAGTTCTTGAAGAGGGACTTCGAGGAGTCGACGATCAGGGTCGTCCGGAGTCCTCCGAATAACGGAGCTCTGGTGAGTGCTGGGTTCCAGGTGTCGGCGACGGTTACTAGGGCGGCTGATGACGATTCGACCATTGGGGAGGGCACCCTCGAGCCCTCCACCCTGAAGACGTTGAGGAGTGCGGATTATCAGGACGGAACGTCGACCCTGGCTAGGTCCTGCGAGGGCACCACTATTCAGGCGACGACGAAACTTATCAGACTGGATCTGGCGGAGGACGATGGAGAAAACTCGGGGAAACAGAATAGCCGGGGGTCTAAGGACACTAGGGATGCCAGGGACAGCGCCAGTGAGGGACCCATCACAGCGGAGAGGGACCTGGGGAGCACGCTGAGACTACGGCATACGCCGTTGTATAATCCAGACAGAGCGGTGAGTCATTTTTTCAATAAGTTTTTTTTCATGGGGACAGTTGCCATTCTTCAAGTTGTGTTGTAATCTGTTAAAATATTTCTGATAATTTTTAATTGAGGGGATTCTATTGTTATTTCGTATGTTTCTAATTTTTTTATTTTATTTATTTTTTATTATTATTATTGTATTTTCATTTTATTTTCGTATATAAATTTATCAACATGAAAATGAAAATTTCTGAGCGTCTGCGCAGTAGCCTGCGCAGTAGCACCACAAGTAAATCGGCGCGGTGTGAACGCTAGTCTATCCGGAAAAAGGAATTTGTTCCTCTCGTAAAGACATTAGGAAACAACTCAAAGTTCCCTGAAGCTTCACTCAATCAATTTCATCTCCTTATCCTCAACCATTAGAAATAAATTTAGTTAATCACAATCAATCAAGTAATTAAATTATTGTTATCTGTTCTCAGGTCAGCGATCGTGACTCTAACTTTGATTCGCTGTGAGAGTCAACTGTATTCGTTGTTGCCAAATAATTGTATTAGAGAAAATTGCAAAGAAAAAGAAGAAAAAAACACAAATGGACGAATAATGTTTATAGAGAGCCTTCGTGCTTCATAATATGGTATTATGAATCGCCGAAGCGCCGGCCATAACTAAAGACAATATCTGAGAGAGTACCACACTCTGGTCATCTGTACGACGCCTATTTATTTATGTCATTGTTACAAATATATATATATAGATGTATGAATTTTTATACTAATTGGGCTCAGTACGATGCGGTTAACAATTGTGTCACACATTTTCGTGCCAAAACTTACATATAATGTTAATGAAAATGAATAGAAATGTTCAATTTCAGTGAAAATTGTCATTACAGAGATGGAGATATCATCGCGTGGACGGGAAAATGATTAAAATCTTGTTATTGTTATAATTCTAAAACCTAAATTAATTGTTTATTCGAGTCGTCTCATGTTGCTCAGCTTCGTACACATGTTTTATCGGATATTTTTATTTCTAAATCTATTGTTCAACGAAACTGCGCAACGTCATTATCGCGACTTTAATTAAAAATGGGGGAGGACAAGTGGTTTGATTGTTTCAATCGTTTTTATTTTCATTGTAAAATAACAAATGAGGAACACTAGGTGAATTATTGTCATTTTTTCTTGATTCATCATTGAGAGTGAGGTATTGATTATTAATGCAATTAACATGAGGTTAAAATTCAACTAAAGATTGTGCTAATTTGAGTTAACTCAGCAGTTAGTGGGTTAATGATGCATACGGTAGGTGTGTATGTGTCGTTTTTACATTGATATTATTAATCGATAATCGGTAAAACGATTCATTTTCTTTTGTACATATTGAGTATGGTTAAGTCTCTATTGATAATTATTGTATTTTTATTGTTTTATCAGGAGATTAGACATGTAATTGTTTCTATCTTGACAATAAATGAAAATTTAATATTATGGGTGAAGTTATTTTGTCTTTCCAGAATTTGATGGATAAAACCGTCTTTTTCATCCCCTCAATCCCATGAAACATTAACTAATATTTTTATGATTTGAACTAATTCAATATCTCTTCACACAAAATATCGTAGACGAATTTAGCGAATTCGATAGAAAAATCTATTGGATTTCTATTGAACTTCTATTGATGGATTCTGCAGTTTTATTGCGAATTTTTTAACGGAAAATGTTGATAGAATTAAATGGAAAAAGTTGATAGAATTTTACCAACTATTGATATTCTTCACTCTATTGATATTTTTCTTCTTTTTTCATGTAAAAAATCAAATGAGAAAACTTGAAAAATTTCAGCGGAAGAATTTCTAGAGGAAATATCTGAAGAGAATAAGTTCAATAGAAAACGAACAGAATTTTCTAACGAATTCGTCAAGTTTTTTCATTAAATTTTTCCGTGTGTCAACACAAGAAAAAACCCCCATCGAACAATATACAAAAAATATATAAATCAGGCCAATTCCATTAATGAAATATATAATTTTCAGAATATATATTTTTCCGTGCAGGAAATGAATCAATCATGAACCCTTGACAATGCCGAACCCAAGTACAATAAAAATTGAGGCACGTCGATTCCCTAAAAGCCGTCCCTCCAGATAAAGAAATACAAATCAATATCCCATGCTGCCTGTAGCGCAAGTGGCCGCATAGTGCTGTACAGAAGCTTGCGGCGTTTTGCGGCGGCGTGCACTGTGAGCTTTACAGCTGTTCCAATCGGGGGTGAATATTCACTCTCGCGAACTCACACTAAATAAATAATCAGGTGTTTCAGTCATGACGAACATTAGATTCGTTGCCCCGAGAATTCTTGGGGTGAGCTTGTGAGCAGATGTCTATAAATCGAGGGAAATGTCAAAGAGTTTTGACAATGGCCTATCGAGACGTCGACGGGGCTGACGTGCGGTGTTGAATCCAGTGAATTTTAATTTTTTTAATTTCGTTCGAAAGTTTGAAGTGCTTGCCCGAATCGTCGGGCGATGAGGATTTTTAAGGGTTGATCGGGGGCTGATCAGTCGCTAATTGTCAAGATGTTTGAGGGGGCGGTGGCAGCTTTTTTGAATCGTCTCCTTGGGAGATATGTGGAGGACCTGGATACGGAACAGTTTAATGTAGGGATATTCTCTGGTGACACGTACCTGACGGATCTCAAGCTGAAACCAGAGGCTTTGGTAGGTGCAATTTATATTTTTAGGGCTCCAGGTAGCAATAAATTTTGGAGGAAAACGCGGCGAATTCGTTGGACAATTCTATTGGATTTCTATTGAATTTTTTATTTGTTTTTCTCCGGTTTTATTGAAATGTTTAATAGACAATATTCTATTCAGAAATTCAACCGAATTAGATTTTTCTGTACAACTCATTTTATTGAGATATTGTCTGGAGAATTTTCTCGACTCAAATGTTCTAAGTTCTTTGTTTTATTTTGATAATGAAAAAAAAACTAGAATGAAAAATTTTTTTCTTATGTTTTGTTTGACTTTTTGATGAAAAGAAAAAGAAAAATAGAATAAAGAAAATTTTTCAAGATTTTTTGTTCGATTTTCTTGATAAGAAGAAAATGAAAATGGAAAGAAAATTTTTTTCCAAGTTTTTTGTTTCATTTTTTTGGTGAAAAGGAAAAAAATTGATGAAAAAACTTGAAAAATTTTTAGATGAGGAAATTCTATAATAAATATTTCAACCTTGGGTTTTAGTTGTTTAGGGGTAGTTCAGGGGAAGATGAGACAGGGTAAGGGAGAATGAAGTGATTCAATTGTAGATATTGAGAGATTGGGATACAGAAGTTCAAAAAATTTTGAGCCATTCTCAAGATTTTTCTCCAAGCTTCAAAACGAGGGCTGATTTATTCGATTTAGGATTTTTTTCCACGAGATATTGGAAGTTAAACGAGACAAATTACTTTCACTTTAGAAGATGAGTTGGAAAACGGAGGAATGGAGAAATTTTTATGGAATTTTTTTTCTAAAGCGAAATAAATTCTAGAAAAAAGATAACGTACCCCTTAGATATAATGCATAAAATTTCGGCGTTTTTCGAAGAAATTATCCAGGACCTTTTGTTACCTGAACAAAAGAATCTCCATATCAAACGCTCTATCGACATTTCCTCACAAAGCCCTCACTGCGGATAATTATATACTCCGATATTAAAAACTGTTTGTCCATGAATACATATTGTTCATTGTTTGATTGCAGTATCAGCTTGGGTTACCAATTAGAATAGAAATTGGTATTGTTGGAAAGGTATCGTTGAAGATACCATGGGCTGGTCTATTTTCTCAACCTATTATTCTAAATATAGAGGTAAATACCAATTATATTGCATGAAATACACGCCAAGCGAATAAAAAATCATTCTTCCATTGATTGCTTCTCTCAGCTTTTGTATTGTTTAAAGTGCGAAAATCTACATGATTTATTTACACTGTCAATGGTAGATTCCCATTTTCCATATCAACATTTTTTATGTGATTACATTTCATTGGACAGTCAAGTTTTTTGTTCGATTTTGTAAATGAATAATTCGATTTTGTGTAATGAAAGGAAAAACAATAGCGAAAATACTTGAAAAATTTATGTCGAGGAATTCATTAAAAAAATGTTTCATTAGAAAGACCAAAATCTGCTGATTTTTTCTACCAATTACTTTCTACTTGACTTCCATTAAAAAAACGCGCAGTAAAACAGCTTAATTTTTCAATAAAATGAGCAAAAAAGTAAAAGAATTTCCCTTGATTGATCCCTTAAACTTCACCAGAAACGCCTCCCCCTCACTGACTCGTCCCAAAAATTCCAGGACATCTACATCGTGGCAGTGCCAGCGATGTCCGGCAACTACGACGAAGTAGTGCAAAAGCGTTTAATGCGGGCGACGAAGCGAAAGCTCCTGGAGGACCTAGAGGGCGACAGCCTCCTGCACTCGGGTCTCCCCTCGGGCCTCCTGGACAGCCTGATGGGCTCCCTGATAAAGAACTTCCAGATAACCGTGACGAACGTGCACATCAGATACGAGGAGAAGTTCTCCTGCAGTTCGAGCATAGCCTGCGGTCTGTGCCTCCAGTCCTTCTCGATCGCGACGACGAACAACAAGTGGAAGCCGGGGGTGACGCCGCCCACGTCGACGTCGATCTACCAGCTGATCCGGGTGGAGTCGCTCTCACTGTACCTCAACCCCAACGGCAGTCCCACCCTGGAGTTCTACCCGAGCAACTGGGACTTCCAGAACCTAGTCGAATGGAAGGCTGTGATGCACAGGACCTTGCGGACGTTCTCCATCAACAGCGAGGACTTTGAATTCCTGATCAAGCCCTTCACGACGAAGATCAAGGTGATCGTGAATCAGAGCAGCTCGGGGCAGCCGTCGCGAATGCTCGTGGACATTGTCCTGCAGGACGTGGCGATGCAGCTGTCGGAGAGCCAGTTCTCGAGCTTCTGCAAGCTGTGGCGATCGCTGCAGCAGGGGCCCGTCGAGCGGAACAGACTGATCCAGCGGTCCCACCCCACGTGCCTCATCAAGGAGGACCCCCGCGCCTGGTGGAAGTACACCCTGACAGCTGTCCTCGAGCAGAACGTCCGACCTTACACCTGGGAGTACGTGAAGAACCACCGGATGAACTACAAGAAGTACAAGGAGACCTTCATGCAGACCCTCATCAGACCCAACGACACGGAGCTGAAGCTCGACCTCCAGAAGTACGAGGACTGCCTGACCATCCTGAACATCATAATCGCGCGGGAGGAGGGGAAGATCGAGCTCAAGAAGAGGGAGCCCGACTGCGTCACCGTGGAGACACTCAACTCGAACATCAAGCTCCTGGTGAACCTCGAGAGGCTCCAGGAGTTGTCGGGGGTGCCCGTCAGCCCGAAATCCCTGAAGAACCACTGCGAGGAGCTCGCGAAACTCAAGCTCGAGCCCATCCCGAGGTCCATCGAGAGGAAGTACAACTTCACTCTGGCGAACTGGTCTCTGAGCCTTCTGACGAACGACTCCAGCGCCAGGGAGAGGGAGATCCTCGTGGTGACGATGGGGCAGTTCCTCATGAGCGTCGAGACCCGCCCGCAGCTGTCGGCCTTCAAGGTCTCGGCGAGGGCTGAGAGCCTCGTCATCGAGGGGGCGTCCTCGGTGGAGAACGATCTGGTCCCCCTCGTGACAGCTGACAACATCCTCACCGGGAACACAGCCTCCAACTTCCTCGCCATCGACTTCGAGAGGAACCCCAAGGGCAGCGACTTCAATTATGAGATCAACGTGAGGCTCGAGGCCTTCGAGGTGACCTATCACGACTTCGCGATCAAGGAGATCGTCAACTACTTCAAGCGGAATGGGTCGAACGTCAGTCATCTGATGTGGAGCATGCAGAAGGTGTACGGAAGGACGAGGGAGAAGGCGGTGGGAATAGTCGGATCGGTGATGAACAGAAGACTTCGGGTGAACCTGAAGCTCGACATCAAAGGGCCGTACGTGGTGTTCCCCGAGGGGGGGTCCCTCCACCACCCCCTCTGCGGCAACATCATCCTGTTCGACCTGGGGCGACTGACCCTCAAGACAGAGCTTCAGGCGAGTAGACACGGTTGGCCGGGTCAATTCATTTATTTCACATCTAGTATTCAAAACCATCTTTAAAAAGGTTCGGTATAATGACTGGCATAACTTTAGAATTCGAATATCTTCAAAGGTACTATGGATCTTTTTTTTTACGGCCTTTTGAGTCCCCTTTTTCGAGTCCTCTCGGCACTCGCTTCGCATTTCAGATTGATTTATTTAATGTGTAGAATATGAATCTTGTCTTTTGAGGTAGATTGTACCTGTGACATTTCCTTTTGTTTGATGGAGACCAGAAATTGGCTAATAAAACTGGTCATTTGGTTTGTTAACCCCTCACGTACGGCGCTCATATAACGCGGCTTGGCCCAACCGCCGGGAGACTTACGGCGCGTCAACTCTGTTATTCAATGAACAGTAACTTGAAAACAGTCGAACGAAAAAATTGAAATAAAATGCATTGGCTGTATTGAACTTTGAAATAAACCCCTAGAGAATTTCCTAATTTTTTACATCAATTTTAATGTTTGCCGACAATTTGTTGCCGAGACCTTCGCACATGATAAATTTAATTATAACAAATAAATTATTCAACAAATCGAAATTTAACTTCCGCCATTCGATAGAAGGATCATTGAAGTATTTTCAGTAAAAATTTCAAAATTTTTGGGGGATATTTTGTCGATAAACGTGATGATTTAATACGATTTAATCTGTTGGCTGTAAGATTTTCATCTACAACTTTTGCTCGATGCTCAATGCTCAATGCATTTATAATATAGAAGAAATGTGGCGGTTTGGTGCAGGTGTCGAGAATAATAACTCGGTGTTGACAAGAACTGTATATTTAAAGGCAAGTGTTTACATGCGTATTCAAAAGTAGACTGGTTTCGACTGTCCTCTTCCGTCGGGGAGCGTACGAGTTTATATACCTTCGTTTATCGAAGGTTCGNTATTTTGTCGATAAACGTGATGATTTAATACGATTTAATCTGTTGGCTGTAAGATTTTCATCTACAACTTTTGCTCGATGCTCAATGCTCAATGCATTTATAATATAGAAGAAATGTGGCGGTTTGGTGCAGGTGTCGAGAATAATAACTCGGTGTTGACAAGAACTGTATATTTAAAGGCAAGTGTTTACATGCGTATTCAAAAGTAGACTGGTTTCGACTGTCCTCTTCCGTCGGGGAGCGTACGAGTTTATATACCTTCGTTTATCGAAGGTTCGAGAATTGTCCTGAAATTTCGTGAGGGACAAGGACAGAATGACGTTTGTCTCGAATTCCGACGTTTGGAATATTCGAGACGCTACGAAATAAATTCAAGGAATTAATCCATTGTGGCTCGCGCCACAAAATAGTATATTTCGTAACGAGTGCAAAAAAGTGTTTTTTGGCGAGTGGGAGGTTTATATCACGAGCCAAAGGCGAGTGATATAATCCCATAAGCTAAAAAACATTTTTTCACGAGTTACGAACAATATTTTTCATCACAATGTGGCGGTCATGCCACTTTTCGTCACAGCGTGATGAAAAAATATTATAAATGTATTGAAAAAAATAGGATAAAAGAGTTCGCTGCAGAGACAATTCCATTGACTTTCCAAATATCTTTTCCAAATGTCAATATGCCTCTTAGAATTCGAGAAAACGATTTTTTACTGTTGACGGAAAGGGTCGACACCATGCATTGACCCCGGCCGATAGGACAAGTTTACGGGTCGATGCGTGGTATGGACGCTGTACGTGAGGGGTCAAACGAGACATCTTATGTCCCTGCTAACTCTCATTTACCGCTTCAGGCGGCAGAGGTGCAGCTGGAAGACGCGACCCTGATGGAGCTCGAGGAGCTCCTCTACGACAGGATTCACGTGGTCCTATCCGACAGTCAAGTCCTGATCTGCCACTCCGGGGACGACTGGCGGGAGTCCCGCAACCTGAAGGACTCGGAGTTCCACATTGTCCCGAAGATCCAGGCGAACGTCACCATCTCCTTCAGCATCAAGCCGGACTACCGCCTCCTGCCGCGGCTGAAGCTCAACATTTCGGTGTCAACGGTCAAGCTGAACGTCTCCAAGCACAAGCTGGTGTGCCTCAACGACTTCCTGACGCAGGTGTCGGTCCCGCACCCCCGGGACCTGGAGGACTTCCGGAGGAGTCTCCTCAAGGTGAAGGAGGACACCAGCGAGTGCCTGGCGCTGTCCTCCCGGGAGCTCACGAAAATCCGAACGATCGTGGCCCTCGCCTCCTTCGTGATAATCCGGCAGAAGTCGGAGTACGCGGTCAACGGAATAGACGCGGTGGTAACGGACTCCGAGAAGAGCGTCGTCTCCTCCTCGGAGTTCAGCGAGGAGGACCTCGAGCAGTGGATCAGGTCCGTCAACCTCTCCGGCTTCGACGACAACATCTCCCCCCACAACAACGTGAACATGCTCCTCAGGATCATGATAGGGGAGCTGTCGGTCCACGCGAGCTACTCCCGCCCGAACACCCCGGACGCCTCCAGCTGTCAGAGCCGGGAGAAGCCGTACCTCATCCTCCGGCTGTGCACGATCTACCTGGAGTCCGCGCTCATGGAGTACGGCCCCGCCTTCCAGTTCGGAATAGGAACGATTGTCCTCGCCGACAAGACCAACGCTGGCATCACGGGGTCCTACCTGGAACTGATATCAGGGGACGGCAGCTACGACGTCATCGGGGTGGCCTACAGGAAGGTCAAGGCCAACTGCCCGGACTTCAAGTCCCACTTCAAGAGCATCGAGCAGTCGCTGGTGGTCAACACCAGGAACATCAACGTCGTGTTCCACAAGCAGGCGTTCGTCAAGCTGAACGACTACCTCGAGGACCTCATGCACATCCCCTATTCCTACAACGCGGGGAAGATCCCGAGCTTGGTGGAGGTCGTGAGGTACCTCCGGGGGCTGTTCAAGAAGAGGGAGATGGACCCCCCGGTGCCCGCGGGGGCGATCAAGCTCAGTTACTCGGCGAGACTGAACAGCCTGCTCCTGAAACTCTGCACCAAAGACACGGATCTTCTGGAGATCAGGGTCAACGGGGTCGAGAGCGACTGCATCTACAACGCCAACGAGAGGATGATCCTCAGGGCGCACGTCGGGGGGGTCTCCATCGACGACCTCAGTGACATAACGCTTTACTCGAAGATCCTCACCACCGAGGACGACAAGGTCCTCGATCTGAAGTACGTCAGGCACGCCCCGAAGCTGTACTCGTCGAAGCTGTCTTCGGACATGAATTTGGGCGGCGCCGAGGGGCGCGACGACGTCAAGACCGATGGGAGCTTCAAGCTCTCCTTCGGGAAGATCAACTTTGTTCTGCTGTCCGAGGTCTTCAGGAACTGCAGGCACTTCGGGGAGCCCTTCGCACACCTCGTGAGGGCGGCGTTCCCCAATGGGGTCTCCAGGATTTTCGTTAATTGGAGTGTCGAAGAGCTCAGGAAGAGCCCGACGAAACTCCACATCTCCATCGACGTTCAGGGGCCGACCTTCATGTTCCCACAGAAGAGGGATGTGCCCAATGCTCTCGTCATCGACCTCGGGTTGCTGACGATCGAGAACTTCTTCAAGAGGAATAAGAGCGATGAGATTGTCGTGGATAATCTCCTGGTCAAGCTGGAGGCCCTCACCGTCTCCAGGGCCATTATGACCTTGGCGGGGGTGCTGAAGATGCAGGAGCCGATTCTTGAGCACGTGGAGGTGAGGCTCGACGTCAAAAGGAATATCGAGTGCAGGAGGGGTGGGGCCCAGGTGTATGGACTGTGCGAGGTGGTGGGGTCGGTGGAGCAGCTCGTTGTCAATCTCAGCCAGAAGGACCTGGGGGGAATCCTCAATGTCTGGGAGGATAACCTGGGGAAGATCCTGAGGATGAGGGGCGAGGAGGGCTGCGCGGGGGAACACTGCGAGGGGTACTATGGGGGGGACGCCACCATGAGGAGGCTCGAGGTGTTTTTTACGAATGAGGAACATCCGGTCTGCGAAGTGAACATGAAGGTCTCCTTCGATGGACTGCAGATCAATCTCTTCTCGGATTCTGATGAGGTACGGGGGGTTCCCGACGATTTTTTGGGGCGGAGGGGGGGGAGGGGGTCAGTGGGGGTTTTTTGTTAGAGGTAGAAGGGTGGTTTTGGGTCACGTCGATTCATTGAATTCATTGATTGATTTGGTATTTTGGTAATTCTTTTAATGATTGGTGAAAATTTTATGAATGATTTTCAATGGCCGATCAGGCACGAAAAAATTTAATAGAAAACACTAGCGAATTCTGTGGGAATTTCTATAAAACTTTCTAGTCGCCGATTTCTAGGGCCGATTCTATTGAAATGTCCAATAAAAAATTCTCAATAGAAAAAGCCGATAGAATTGAATTTTTCTTTATAACTGACTCTATTCAGATATTTTCTACAGAATTTCCTTGACTAAAATTTTCCTATTTTTTTAAATTCCATTTTTAATTTCTTCTCGTCAAGAAAATATAAAAGAAATTAGAAAATTTGAGCCGAGAAGTTCTGTAGAAAATTTCTTGATAGAATAAGTTATATAGAAAAATCGAATTCTATTGACTTTTTCTATCAGATTTTTTCATTTGTAATTGTTTTATCATTGATAGGTCTTGAGCTCACCAGTGAGAGACTTGAACAATGGTCTAGGGAAATTGAACCTGGGGGAGGTGACGCTGTCGTTCGAATTGTACAGCAACCGAAGTATGAGTATGAAGGTCTCTCTGAGGACCTGCACTCTGGAGGATACCCGGAAGGAGCCAGCTGTCATCAGGAAGTACGTCCTTAAATTATTTTAGTTAATTCCACATGAAGAGGTGACACGTAATAATCCTTGTGACGTGATTTTTTTTCTGTCTGCCTTAATCAAATCGCCTTTCCACTTGAAAACTCATTTTCAAAATCCCATTTTGGGAATTCGATCCACACAATTTATTCCATTGCGATATTTTCTGTAGAATTCCCTCATCTAAAATTTTTTGGCTTGATTTTTTTATTGAAATGAAAAGAAAGATAATAAAATGAAAAAAACTTGGAAAATTGAGTCCAGCAAATTCTACAGAAAACATGAAAAGAATAAGTTATATAGAAAAATCAAATTCTGTTGACTTTTCCTATTAATTGTTTTCTGCTGAACATGTCAATAGAATCAGCCAAAAACTAATAGAAAGTTTGATAGAAATTCAATAGAATTTTCTAACGAATTCGACAGGTTTTTCTATCAAATTTTTTCGTGCGTGTCAATCATCAACTCCCAATATTTCAGAATCATTCAATCACCAGCAAAATCAGCCGGCCTGAATTTCGACTCTGTGATCTCCGTATCCGAGCCACCAGTTTTCGACTTCACCTTCACCCAAGCCCCAGCTGGTGACAAGTGCATCGACATGTTGATCGAGGAGACCCGAGTGAACCTTTCGATTCCGTTTTTCCTGCAGCTCACAAAATACTTCGTGGAGTCCCTCCCCACCGAGCAGATCGACAAGGGAGTCGTCAACGAGGCATACGAGGGGAACAATCACGTCGACGTGAACGACAAACTGAAGACGAAGCCCCAGCAGCTGATCATCGAGCACCCGAACGACCTGGAGGAGCAGTCGGGGACGTCGGTGTCCATTAGAATCAGAAAACCCGAGGTCCTGCTGTTCGGAGACCTGAAGGCCAGCAACGCCCACGCCATCCTCGTTCAGGCGGAACTGATGATCGAGAGCAGCAAGCACATGGGCTCGTCCTCAGTCGTCTGCAGTTTGTCCAATGTCTGCGCGAAGAGCAAGAGTCAGGAGCGCTTCCGGAGGCAACCACCTCAGTGGGTCCTCAGACCTTGTGATATCGATATATGCACGAGGGAGAAGAACACGGATGATCAGGGACAGATTATACTCGATGTCAGCTCGGTTGATGTGCACTTGTCGGCTGGAACTGTCTGCACTCTAAATCAGGTGAGTTTTTTTTGAAGTGGTGAGGCAGCTAAAATTTTTACAGAGACGTGGCGATTTGCCGAGGAATTTTAAAAATCTGAGAAAAAATTATAAACTTTACTTTTGGAGAAAGATTGACGAAATAAATAAAAAATTACAATTTTTGAAAATTACGAGCATTTTCTATAAATAATGTAATGAATAGGCTATTATTGATAGAGGCGGATTTATTTCTTTAATCAATTCATAGGGTGATTAATATCTCCGTTCAGGCCTTAGAATGACATTTTTTATCAATCGAAAAACGAAACAAAATACGCAAATATATCAGGAAGGGGATCAATAAATTAAACATTCGATACCGCTACAATAATTTATAAATAATCAATTTTAAGAGATACTTGGATATCCTTAAATTAAAAGTGATGCTGCAAGATGCTCATCTTTTCTTCCTTTCGATTTCATTTCAGATCCTGAGAGAGGCCTCTGAAATATTGAAAATCATCGACGCCAAATTCGAGAGCAAAAATGATTTTTCAGAAATCATTGGATACGGCGATCTCTGGTCCCCCAAGAAGATATTTTCATCTCCATACAGGGGGAATCCGAATGGACGTAAGGACAATAAACCCCTCAGTTATATCCAAATCATCCGCAAATATTCGATAATAAATTTATGGAATTGCAGATTGGGAGATGCTGTCTCCACCTCTCCCTGCGATCGAAGACCCAGCTGTAAACCTGATAAAGATATTGAGCCTGAAGCCCTTCGAGATCCACGTAATCCTGGAGATGGAGGATACGGTGGAGAGAATTCCCATGGTGAAGGCAGAGATCGAACTCGGCGCTTCGATCACCTCACTCAATTCCACCTATAAGTTCGATTCTAGTTTTAAAATTCATGCATTCTGCTATAATGCGAGCCGAGGTAGTTGGGAGCCTTTTATCGAGCTCTGCACCAAGGACGACGTTGCTTATTACCCCTGGGAGCTGTCAATAAAGGTGAAAATTGTTATTTGTCGAGTCGGAAATATCTTCAGAGAAAGTAGCTTCACCAAGAAATGTCACAAGACTTTTCATCTAGAATGAATTCTTTAGACATTTCTGAAAATTGGGTGAGCCTACTAATTTCTGAAGTATTCTTCGAGTTATTTGTATATAAATAAAAATTTGCAAATGCCAATTATTTGGCAAAGATCTCGGAAAGTCAACAGTTATCTGCAAAATACGAGAAAAAAATTTTTGCAGAGAATTTCATTTTCATTAGGAGGCTACGCCCCTTCTCTTTTTTTTTTTCTTCTATTTTTATGGGACTGACTAAAATGTCTTGAGGCCGTTTCCCCTCTGGTGAGCCCTTACAGTATTATAAAATCGGTGAGGATGATAAGGAAGGGAGCGCATTAACCCCATGAGTTGTGGAGAGGGGATTGGCCACGCCCCCTTGCTCGCTTCGCTCTCTAGCACTCCAATCCCGAGGGGTTTCGCCCCTCCCCCTTTCACACGATTTGAAATATCAACACGAAATGACAATAAATGACAGTATTTGTGGAAAAATAATTATCTGCACGATATATATTATCAATATAAATTGATATAAATAAAAAATCATCTAAAATTTTCTCTCTCACGTCGTTCTTCCGGAATTCACCTACAGGTATATCAAGCCGAGTCTCACGAGCTAAACCCCTGCTTCAACCACAACACCAACAACAATCAATCGAAAAACCCGATGAGGCGATCGACCCCGAAGAAGAAGCGTGCAAGCAATCACACCTCGAACGACGACGACCAGAGCAACGAAGACATGTTGTTCATCCACCCAGACGCAGCCCAGACGACCTCAAAAGTCAGTCTTCACGAGTACAGCTTCGAGCACGACGAGGATTCGGACTCCAACGACGACGATGGCCCGGACAAACTGGCGAGAAGTTTCAGCCACCTCTTCACCAACGACGAGACCGACGATGACGACGACACAGACTCCGATACATCCAGTAAATGCGAGGACGAGGGCCTGGAGCTGACGCCCGAACACGTGTCCACCAGAAAATTCTCATACACCTCCGTCAAAGCCACCACCAGAACACTAGCCGAGCCCTCACCCCTCGCCAATTACATAATCATCAGTGCTGAAGACAGGATCAATTTCACTGTTACCCAGAATACAATAACAATACTCGACATTATATTGAATATATTCACGAAGAATAAGACAGGAATTCCTATTGTCCCAACTAACGCTGGGAAATTGAGTCTCATGAATGAGATTGGACACACCAGCAGGATTGAATTGATTGCTGAAGAGAAGGTAAGGACTGAAGCGTGTAATTTACGTTAATGATTCTTTTTTTTGCAGTCGCTTACTCTATTGTCAACCTCTTGGTAAGGGCCCTTTCCTAGCCTCAACCCCTTCGAAGAGAAGTTAAAAATTCCATGTGAGCAAACCATGCGATTTAACGACCGCGACCACTGGACATCGGTTTTTCAATGGATCTTATCCACATTTAGATTGGATTACAAGCAATTCATCATTTCCCGGAAATACAAAAATCCCCCAAGGGACGACCAAAATATAACATAATTATTACAAAGGAATCTTATGAATTATTCACATTATTATAACTTTGATGAATATTTTGTTTGTTTTTAAGTTATTTATTTATCGTTTTCATTATTATATATTTTAAAAAATATTATTTGTATTTGTTATTTACAATATTGTTTCATTAATTTTTGTTCCCACATATATAACAGTCCCATAGCTATCATCGCGTATCTTCATCACAATAATCATCATCATTTTCCTTAACAATCTCGTAAGGAAAGACAAAAGATAGAAAAAGATTACAATTAAGTTGAAAGTACAAGTCATTTAGGCACACTATTCGACCGAGTTTAGACTAATAAACAGCTTCGCCAGAATGAAGGGGATAATGACGTAAAACTTATTCAAAGACGTTAAACTCAAGAAAAATTCAGAGGATTCCAGAGGACGTCGCTTGACATATCCACCTCTTCATGCCCCCCCCCCTCCCCCTGTAGGGATTGAGGTGTAGTCGGGAAGGTAACAATCCACTAACAAATGCAATTAAACTAATAATTACAGATTTATTATTCGCATCAAATTAATAGAAAAGTGAAGAGAAAATAATATGATCCGATCAAGTGTGCGATACGAGCTGTACTCTTAGACTAAATTATATTCGCACGGAAAGGTGTCAGGCTGCCGAATATCCTTACGATTTGACGAATCAGAAAAGAATACGTGTGGCACGGAAGGTGCGAGTGAGACAGCAAATGCCTGTGCTCGTCGTTAGCCAGTGTTCGCGTGTTAGGATGTAGCGAGGCGCTACAGCCCCATTCATTTCTAACCGAGATTTTCCTGAATTCATCCAGGGAAACGAAGCCGTCGGTCGAATCCTCGCCTCCAAAGACTTCAACCCCCTGGACTCCCCCGAAAGTGCGCCCAGCACCCCGGACTCTGAATTCTGCATGAGCGAGCACTTCATGGAGTCGGCATTCACGGACGACTCCACCACGACATCCACCACCCTGAACGGGCCGCTGATCTTCCCCGACGACTCCCCAGTGCACATCTACAACAGCATGACAGAGGAGTCCCTCAGGATCCACATAGACTCCTTCGAGGACACGATGATCTACTGCCCCAAGTGGCAGGGCTACAAGCTGATCCGCCTTCGCCCGACCAAGAACGGCATCACCTACCACCTGATCGTGGAGGTGTCCACAGATCACCACCTCCACCGGACGATCACCGTGCGCCCCCCCTTGCAGATAAAGAACGAGACGTGCTACGCCCTGGGGCTCTACTACAGGAAGAAGATGGCTGAGGAGTTGAAGCTGGACAGCTACCTGGACGGCGAAGCCTCGAACCCCTTCGACAACAGCATGAGGATGACGGTGATCGAGCCACATGACTCCTACAACGTCCCCATGTACATCACCTACCACTTCAGCATCCACTTGGCTCCAGTGCACTTCAACAAGTTCGAGGTCTCCCCCGTGGGCATCTCCTGGAAGGAGCTCTCGGAGCACATGAACACGCCGAAGGACATCTACTGCACCTCCCCGTCGTCCCTCTTCGGGGTGAAGGTCTTCTGCAGTGAGAACTCCAAGTACACGAAGTACCAGTGGGCGAACTCTGGTCAAGTTCCTCAGTACCTCATCACCGTCGTCCCACCTCTGGTCTTCGATAACAAGCTGCCGTTCGTGGTCGACATCAATGTTCCATCCATCGAATACGAAGTGAGGATAGAGCCCGGACAGCGGATCAATGTCTACAACATCAGGTGTGACGCCGACACAACCGTGAACTTCAAGATCCAGAACTACCTGGCGTCCCAGTGGGCAGGGACGTTCAAACTGAATTCTGAATTGGAGAGGAAGCTCGTGAAGATGTTCGCTGACGGGGAGACAGACGCCGTCTGGAGGCCTTTTGTCCTCTGCGTCGAGCTGAACAAGGCCACCAGCTGGACGGTGGTCATCTACTCCGAGTACTGGATCATAAACAAGACGGGATTGCCCTTGAAGATCCAGGAGACGTTATCCAACACTGTTGAAATCCCGGACGAGGAGCTGATCGTATTCTCCCAGAGGAAGAACCGACGAAAGCCTGTGATGCTGAAGATTCATCAGTCCGACTGGTCCCTGCCGTTCAGCCTCGACGCGATAAACTCGATGTCCCTCATCGCCTGCAAGGACATCGAGCGCAAGAGGAAGTACCGCATCCTCACGGAGATCGTCGGCTCCACCCTTTCGCCAACCTTCACCAAGATCATCACCTTCCTTCCTTACTTCTTCATCAAGAACAATACGAAGCGGGCGCTGAGGTTCATGGAGGAGAACGAGGACGCTGATCTGTGGAATGACCTGGTGCCCGGACAGGGGACTGCCTTTTGGCCGTACACTGACTCTCTGAAGATGAGGGTCAAGTGGAAGAACAGTCAACTGGTTTCGCAACATTTCAACCTCACGAGCATCGGGAAGATCGTGCTGAGGATGGAGAATGGGTCGGCGTTGTGTGTGGATGTTGGCGGGGGGAACAACTCGCCGTTCTGCATCACTTTCGAGAGGTATGTAGAATTATTTCTGGGAGGGAGCACTGATGGCAATTTTTTAGGATTGTTCTACAATACCGCGGAATACCGTTTGGCATTGTACTTATTGTTTGAAGTTTAATGGCGCCGGTAGTCTAGTAGTCCATAGGGTTCTAGTCTACCGTCTGTATGGCGTGAGAATAGACAGATGAGATGGCAGACCATTTGCCATATTAATTTCCATATTTTTATAACACAATTTCCAAAACAGAACCTGTTTGACGTCCTACTATGACGTGTTTTTGTCGTTTAACCCATTAACCCATTAAACAGCGTAAGTTACGAAACATCCATGTGAGCAGAACGTTTCTCAAACAGCTTCTCACTCCCTGCTAGGTCCATCATTTCATTCGTCTATTCGCACGTCCAAAGGTGCACCCTGAGATTAGCGAGAAAATAGAGCACACAAAAGGTCATCGGACATGCCTTGTATGAAATGATGTCATAATTTCGACAGGTACACCTCAGGAGACGCTCCAGTGAGAGTTGACAATCTCTGCGAGGATCTCTTCCTAAAAATGAATCAAGCAGACCTGGGTCAGGTGGCCCTCCTCAGCCCTTACCAAAGCCTCCTATACACCTGGGACGACCCCACAGAGTCCCGAGAGCTCATCTGGAACGTCTACAACAGCAAGACAAAAGGCTACCCCGCGATGTTCGATACCGACGGCTTCGGCCAGGAGATCGTCACCTTCAGAACCCTAAAAAAATCCCCCGAGATGGTCTACTCCTCCAAGACCAAAGCAAAAAGATCACGGCGTGGTAGAAGACTCAGTAAGAAATCGAAAACAGAATCAACCGAGAAGTCCATCTGCATCGACTTCCCCGAGGACAGCAGCAGTGCCACCAGCTCGGACGACGAAGAGTCGCCTCCTGACGACGTCACCCCCGTGGAGAAGATCCAGAAGAACAAGACCATCATCTACTGGATCAGCTACATGGAGAAGAGACAGCGAGTCCTGACCTTCACCCAGGACGAACACATGTTCTACAAGATGAAGACAGTTGTGGATCCTGAGTACAGCAAGACGGAAGTCTTCTTGGCCCTCTCAGGACTTGGAGTCAGCATCGTCGCCGACGACTGCACAGTCTCCAAGACCTCCAGCAGGGAACTGGCCTACGCCAGTATCACCGACTCCTCCGCCCACTGGGAGCTCGACATCGGCAAACGATGGAAGTCCCTGACATTGGAACTCAACGCCTGGCTCGAGGACAAGTACAAGACATCAGCAGAATCAGCTAAACTGGACAACTCCATCGACGTCAACTTCTCCAAGATGCACATCACCAAGCCCTTCTTCGGAAAGCTCAGGAGGACGTACTGTCCGGGGATCTGGGCGCACCTCAGGAGGTCCAATACCCTGACTTATCTGCAAGGATACGTCCATCGGGTGCAGGTGGATGACCAAAAGAGCGACTCGGTATTTCCGATTGTCCTGAGACCTGGGACCAAGAAGTGCGTTGGAAATGGCCTCGGGGGAATCAGGATGAAGCACTCCGTGGAGTTTCATCTGCTGAAGCAAGCGAGGGTCTCCAGCAACATTTTTAAGAGGATTCATCTCGTTGTGAGGGAGTTCCACGTGAACCTCCAGGAGGAGTTCTTCGTGGGCCTCGTCAAGGAGTTGATGCCCAAGCGAAGGGACGACACGAAGACCTCCCTAGCGGGGAGGTTGAAGACAGACCTGGCGAATGTTTATGTTCCTCTGGGGGGCGGGGAGGGCAGGAGGATCTGGGGCAGGGGAGACGTGATTGAGCACGTCTATGTGGCGCCGATTAAGCTCCACGTGAAGCTCTTGGCGTCCGCGGAGGGGAGGGCAGGAGACGGCGAGGTGGATTACTGCGGGAGTTTTGGGGAGGTGTTCGCGTACGCCAGCAAGGGGACGTTCCTGAAGCAGGCCGAGTTCAGGCTGCCGCATTATGAGAGGTTCCAGGTGCGGATGGGCACGGGAGAGCTGGCGGCGGACGTCTGGAAGAGCTGCAAGGCCGAGTGGAGGCATCAGTTCAATGTCTCCGTGCAGGGGATGACGGTGCTCGGAAATCCTTTTAGTTATAATTTCAAGGCACCGGGGGACGCTTTCTATGATACTGATGGGGTACGTCCTGATGGTTTTCGAAATTTATCAAGTTTTCCAGAGATTTCGAAGGTTAAAAAAAAGTGGGGTTTAATGGCTCCGGTTGTTTAGGAGTTTATATGATACTAGTGTAACGTCTCGATGGCGGGAGAATAGATAAATGAGATGTAGCTTCACGTCGATGATACTCTCACGCCTCTATAAATTTTTTTTTCAATTGGGGAGGGAGGCCAGTGAAAAAAACAGCTACTAGATTTCCAGCTGAAATTTACAGACGTATCCATATAAGAAAAATTTACCTCAAACTAGAATTCTCAAGACTTACTGAATTTGAATTTAGTTTATAGGTCTGTGAATACGTGGATATGTCTACGATTTCATATATTCACATGTTTCCCAAAAAAATCCGGAATTTATAAAGTTTTCAAAAGATTTCCAATTTTTAAAAAATGTTTAATGGCTCCGGTTGTTTAGTACTTTATTTGATACTACTCGCACGTCTCTATGACGTTAGAATAGACAAATGAGATGCTAGTCCAACGTCTCTATGAAGTCTCTTTAGGAAATTCATGTTTAATGGCTCCGGTAGTTTAGCAGTTCATACGATACTAGTCTACCGTCTCTATGACGTGGGAATAGACAAACGAGATGTTAAATTGAGGAAGAATTAAAAAAAATAGGGTCTTGAAATTTCAGCTCCATCTTCAAGGAGACGAAACAGCAGAGAAACTTGCCCACAACATCTCATGCCTCCTGGGTTATTCCAGCCTGGACGCCCTCCAGATCCCCTTAATTGGGCTGGGTCTCCTCGAGCAAGAGGCCCCGCGTGCTAGGCCAAAGGTCACACGTTTCGAGAGCACAGACACTCCGTTATCAGCCATCACCCTCGATCGTTCCTACTCGATAGGAGTTGAGCTAGAAATGTCTGGGTTAATAGTCAAGCCAACGGACAATACTCATCAGGAGGAGCTCAAGTACTCGCTGAAGGAGCTTGGCAAGGGTATCCTCAGCCTGACGAAGCTCGAAGACGGAAAATCGTCCCTCAGGATCCAGCCTGGACTCATCCTGGACACGATAAAACGCGCCCAGGAGAGAGGGTACAACTTCGTGTCCAGAATTCGCTTCCCACGCTACATCAATCCCTATTCAGCAGTCGAGTTGTATTCAACTTACAAAGCGAGGGGAATGTACCTTCTCAACACTGTTACGAAGAGTGAATACCAAAATTCAGAGACCTATTGGGCACATGCTGCACTCTCCAGCGATGGCAAGCACATTGCTCTCGTCTCACTGCAGTACGTTATTTGCTTTCATGCCTGGAAATGATTTTATTATGTTAATCTCATGTTTTGGGCGCTTTTTTTAAAGGAAAATTTATCTTCTCGAGAAACGGTGCAGCATATGGGCATCCTGGAACGTCGCGTGGTCCATAGAAACTAAGGAATTAACTGAGGCACCCACGATCGAGGGAAATAAATTAATTCTTCATGTAAATAAAGTGTTGCAGGTAATGGATTGCACTGTGGAGTGAATTCTTTTGATTTTTGTAAAAGAAAAACTTGTCGATAATGGAGGTGTATTATCTGGACGTGTCGACCTCAGATGATTTTGAATTCATCATAAGAATATAAACCAAATCTTTATTTTTCTGCATTACCAAAAATATAAGAAATGAAATGTTAAAAAAATGTTAAAATTCCTTAAATTTTGAAATAACTTAATTCTTCATTCATCAAATTCGAATTCCTCATCAGGAAGAAAACCCATTATCTTTATTTCTCTGCAAGAAATCAGATTTCCAAAAAAGTGAATTAAAAAATTTCTTGAATTTCATCAAACAAAAACTAAGAAACAAAATTTCAAAAATCACCAGATAAAAGATCCTCTAATATATTTAAATTTTGTTGAATGTCTCCCTAACGTTCTTCTCTCCTTCCAGAACCAGATAATGTCCCAATCACCTCCAGACTGGTACATGGAGTGCAACGACATAACGACCCTGGAATGGCTCTCCAAGAAGATAAATACTGCCATGATCCTGAACCTCATAAACTCTCGGTGCAGAACAGTCTGAGGCCCTCAATCAACTGACCCCCCCCCCCTCAAACCCCCCCAAATTGACAATGTCAGATAATTGGATAAAGTACATCTAGTTTATTTCATAATTTATTTACAAAAAGTCTTAGTAAATTACACTTACAGGCATCTCCACTCGAAACTAAAGTAAATAATTTAAGAGCTACACGTATTAAGATGTCTATAGAGTAGGATACTTTGGGGGGCTGGGGAGTAAGCCAAGATTCAGGGAAACGTGTATGTTGTGTTAACCATTAATATCCTCACAGTTTCGTTACTCTCGTCATTCAATAATCCCCGAACAATTCGGTCATTGAATTCCAGACAAATCAATCGCTAAAAATTGATGATTAAAAAAAATCATTGAATTCTCTAACGATGCCACATAATGAGGAATGACATGAAAACTGACAGCCAATTGAAAAAAGAAAGAAAAATCATAGATGAACAGAAAAAAAAGATCAATCCACTTGATCACCTGATTTGAGGGGAAAAATTCAATAGAATAAAAAATGAAGAATTGACGAAAAAAAATCATAATTGATAAAAAAAAATCATTGCATACATCAGTTGCTGGCCAAACGTCTAATTAAATGAGAAATAGAGATCGTCAAAATGTGTGTGTGTGTTGTGTGTGTATATAATATATATAATATATATAGTATGTGTTTATATATCTCGTACTAATTATATACATATACAAGATAAAATGAACTGTATATGCATATAATTATGATGATAAAAAATATGCAAATAAAAGGCTAGCGCTTGGCCCATTTTCCTCTGAAATAATTTATCGTTTTTTCATTAAATTATCCCTCTGTAACTTCCCCCCTCACTGATTCCTCATTATTTTACTCAATGATGATGAAAACAAATCTCTGACCTCTACAGCCCGCAAAGCCTACCGAACAGGACAATCTTGTCGCCCACCCTCTCTCGTCACCAGTTGAAATAGTCACCTCGCCTCCCCTCATTTAAATAATTTTTCCCAAAAATTATTTGGAATCGTCAAACGATCTCTCTCATAAGAAAAAAAAAACATGATTTGTTTTCCCTAGAGTTCTACACACATATTTAACACTTTCACTCGCAGTCGTGCCCTCAATTAATTAAATTCATCTTGTTTATTCTCTGCAAAAAAAACAGACCCCTTCAGCCACTCTCAGCATTTACCTCACGTCCATAATCACCGCTGATTACCACTTTCACAAATCATAATGCAATTGTCATCATATCTTACAAGAACAAATGGAGAAAAATAATAATGAACGAAAGGAAAAATGATAAAAAAATACTACATAAAGAATTCATGTTACAGCATCATGGGTGAACTAATAAAGTGAAACCCAGGATAATCATATTTTTCAAATTGTCCAGCCGAACTCTTCCCTGAACACTGCATTATCCTTCACGTCAATTAATATATATATTTTTTTACAGACACCCGTGATAATTCATTTTTCCATCGCCACCTCCTCCTCCTCCCCCCCCCCCCCCCCCCCCCCCCCCCCCCCCCCCCCCCCCCCCCCCCCCCCCCCCCCCCCCCCCCCCCCCCCCCCCCCCCCCCCCCCCCCCCCCCCCCCCCCCCNTCCCCCATCATCATAATTTATTTTAAGCACGCAAATAGTCAGACACACACTCGAAAAAAAAAATACTACTTCATCCTCATCATGAAGCGCTTTAAGCGCTGAATTTCACGCAAAAAGATAAATTCATCGTCTCACTCTCGTCGAGATGTCGAAATAGTTGCATCCCCCTCTGCAGGATGATTATATCACTCGTCACAATCATTTTCTAGTTTAGTGTGCAATGATCGTCCCCCTGTGGTAAGCACACCAGGCCCCCATCCTCATTTGCCCCCTCAATGCCACTTCACACATGATTCGATTCATATCTATATCCTCCATAAAACCCCTCCCATCTCTCCCTCTCCGTCCCTCGTGCCTCTTATTCTCTCTCCCCCCCTTCCTTTAAAAACTTCTAAAGTGGATTTAAATAATAAAAAAAAAATTCCACATTAAAATCCGGGGGTGGGAGGAGAGGGGGGGGGGGTGATTGTTTCCAATAATCCACCACAAGTAAATTAATTTATGTAAGAATTCAATGGAAGTGTAATGTTATCTACAAAATATACTTAATTACTCGCTAATTACAGCACAAAAACATGCAAATGTAAAAATTTGCATTAATCATATCATCGTAGTATTTATATTAATCGTCAGCCGATATTAACTTCAATTATAATAATATTTCATCATTTTTTATTATTTTTTCTTCATCATCTCGAACACCAAACCCCCCCCCCCCCTCTTTCTGTCAATAATCGATTGATCAATCAACTGTGTCAATTGGTAATTATCTCTCTCATCTCTGAATCCTCGTGATTATGATTTTCCCTAGTATTATGCAGACATTGCTCCATGTTTTTTTTTTCATTTTCATCACAAGTCATCTCCTCAGTAACTATGAAATATCTTACACTATCGATATTTATTCCAATTTTTTTTTGTTTTCACGAATGAAATATCGGTATACGAATGATCGAGATATCCATCCACTCGTATACCCAATGCGCTAACACCAATAATTAGCATTTTAACGTTATAATAATAATATTATTATGTATTTATTGTTTACTTAATAATTTTTTTTATTCTCTTACTTAATTATTTAATATTTTTTTGTATTTTTTTTCCTCATTTTTTTTTCTCGTTCTGCCTCTTATTACCATTTTTCGTTTAATTATTACTTTTTTTATTATTTTTTTTCCCCCATTAACTCGATACAAAACTAGAACAACTGCTGTGCCGGATGTGGAAAAACGCTAAGAATTCTTTATTTTCACTCGTCTCCATTAATAAAGAAAAAAAATTACTTTGTAATCATCGGCATGATGTTATTCCATTAATAAATTCTTTTTGGCCGTTTTGTGTCATCAGTGGAGATTCATCCAAGGGATTAATTCACTTATTTCACTGAAATAAACCACTTTAGTCTGAATTATTTCACAATCCTCCAAGTGTTCCACCTCAAAACTCCCCCCCCCCTATCCACTCAATTCCCCCAGATATCTCCATAAACATTGAAAACCATAAAATCCTGACGATTTGAGTTACGTACCAGCACCCCTTGAGCACTGAAACAGCACCCGAGCAACAATAGCAGCGACTTGTTGATCGAGTATTTGGCTCATAACGAGAGCAAGTAGACGTGACTCGTGCTGCAGTAGAAGTGTCCTATTGTCAGGATGTCTAGCGAGATTGAGAAGTGTGCCAGCAGCTCGTCTCAGCATATCGAGACTAGTCCCCATTGATTCAGGATTTTCCCTGAGTGCAGCAAAGCCATGCTGATTGGCAACCCCAAGTGCTGAGCTCTCAGCTTGTTCAATAAAGGCAACAAGCAGTGCAACACAGGGTGTTTGAAGGGCAATAGTCCTGGCAACACCCGAGTCAGCGGCTGACAAAAAGTGGAGTAAATTAACCCCAAATTCACGCAACACCTGCTCCTCACTGCGACATAGTAGCCTCGTTAGCACAGAACACAGTCTCTGTAGTCTCGAATAAGGTGGTGTTGCAACAACAAGATCGACATTGCTCTCGGTAACGCAGAGCTTGCAGAGTGCCTCCAGTGCTAATCTCTGCGGTGATAACGACGAGTTCATGTTGACAGTGGGAAATGGATCCTGTCCGTGAGCAGCTGGACACACTGCCCAGTGAAGTAGACCATCTAATACTGGACGTGATATCTCCTCAGGATGTTGGCTGAGATCGGTGTAGCCAGCAATGTTGGCTGCCATAACGAGAACATTTTCACGTATGTGATAGAGAAAATCCCACCACCACTCGTTCTCACCCTGGAGGCTGCTGCATGAGTCAGCAAAGTCAGCGTCCTCCTCTCTGTCGTAATTTCTCGTCTTCTGGGTTCTCACTGGATGCTCGTGATGGAGGAGAAGGAGCTTGCCAAGAATACTGAGGAATGTCACGTTCTTGGCGAATTCCAATTCATTGCCCGGTATGAATGTCAAGTTCCTGAGAATTGTCGAGAGACAGACACATCGTCTTGCTAGACTGTCCTGCGACTCTGTCACAAGGTAGAGACTAGCCTCGTCCCTCGAGTAGCTCTCGTCCTCGTAATCACTTATTCTTCTTCGTTTTAGGGTGCCCGCTGGATCCTTTATCTGTAATCTTGGTCCCTCTTTGTGGGTGTCTGTGTCGTCAAGTTGGTTGTCCTTTTGGCTCTTGTCTCTGTTGACATCGTCATCCTCATCGTCAGTCTGCTCTCGATCGTCGTGATCGTCGTCGGGTCGAGGCTTTTTCTTTTTTGTTCTTCTCGTGTCGGGATCGTTGGTCTTGTGGTCGTTATCGTCACTGTTGTCGGGATCCTCGGATTTAACTTGAGGATCAAAGGTACTTGTCGAGTCACTCAGGCCATTGTGCGTGGGAAAATTGTTGTCCTCAGTTTTGGGAAAGTCCACTGGGTGCTCGCCCATGTTGTTGTTCTGTTTACCATCAGCCTCGCAGTCGCGCTTTGAACCGTCGTTTTTCTTCTCGAAGAGCTCACGTGTCAGGTCGTTCATCTCCACTGGCTCTTTCTTTATCCTCGAGAGAACGTCACTCAGGGTTCGTGGCTTCTTCTTCTTCTCGAGGTGGAGGTGTTGGGGGGGCTGTTTCAATTTTAAATCCCCATTCTCTTTCGAGGACTTCTCCAGGAGCTCCGGACACTTGGGTAACGACTCGTTTGTTATCTCGGGAATTTTTTCACAATCTTGGGATCGCGACTCGTCCTTTATCTCCAGGGTCTCCACTTCCTTCTGCAGGAGGGGGGGCTTCTCGTCGCGGAGGTGCCTCGCGAATGGGGCCATTCCAATTTCTGATTGAAAACAGGTGATTATGTATTTAGTGTCACTGGGATCCACCTGCCAGGGCTCACACTCGGCGTCTGTGTCCAAGTGGTCCCAGGGGCGACGATTGTCGAGGACGAAAATGTCGTCGTCACGGGGCACCATCTTCACGGGACGGCCACGACGCGAGAGGAAGGTGTAATTGGAGGTTGTCAGGAGCTTTGTTCGGTCCTCGGAGTCGATTGGACGAGATACTGCGCCCAGGTCGACTTCTGGGATGTCGGAGGTCTTGTCCCAGTGGTCCTCCTCGAGGGTTGACGACTCGAACATGTCGGAGAGGGAACGCGAGAAGTGCTCGAGGAGAACGTCCAGGAGACCTGGCAGGTGCGTCAGACCGAAGTAACTCACCTGGAATTTGAAGCGAGGGATTTAGTTAGGAGGAGTCTGGGGAATATTTTTGGGGGGTAGGTTCAGGAAAATTTCAAGGAATTTCAGCACTTAAAGTTTACAATTTGATGTAGAAATCAAGAAAAATTGGGAATTTCAGTTCTATTATTTCATGAGAATGAGGAAAAATAGAAAAATTCAGGTGATATGGCCCTGCATTTCATGGTTTCATCCTAAATTCAAGAAGTTGAGCAATATTTGTCTTCCTAATACTTGATAATTTGGAATTTTAATGAATTCATAATCAGTGAAATCTTAAATTTGAAGGGATTTCAACACTGAAAATTCATAATTCGATGTAGAACTCAGTGAAAATTAGAAATTTCAATTAAAGTATTCCATGAAAATTCAAATAATTAAATTTTTTTTTCTGCAGAAGCTATTGATTCCAGGCACAAAAAATGACATTCCAAATGTCAAAAGATGATTCAATGAATTTTAATAGATTTATCACCGAATGTCGGTAAAAATTGTGCAATGAAGTGTCAAACTCACCGAGCTGTCATCAAACAACAAAATATTTAATACATCGAGGGCCCAACAGCTCTCGGCGAGTAACCCCGAGCGCAATGCCATCATGATTCTCCATGCCTCAACCGGTGCAACATCGCTTCTCGCTAGTTTACGTCTCTTGTAGAGTAACGGTGTGACAGCCTCCACGCTGTCAGGTGGGAATGTCATTTCTCGTTTGGGTGCTGTCTGTTGAGTTATCATTGGATTCATGCTCAACTGGCTCTGCAAAACAAATGATCAGTGAAACAAAGGACTATTATAGGCTATTTCAAGCTACGGACATTCACGAGAATCATTCATTCGAGAACATTTGTCCTTTCATTCCTGAATTCAATGAATTCTCGCGATGTGTAATCGACAATTTATTTGTAAAAATTGCGAATTTATCATAAAAGTTTGACACTGACGATAATTTTCGCATTAAACATCGAAGTTTGATTTATTTTTTTCTAATTTAATTGATAATTTTTCCTACTTTGCCAATTCTAAATTAATTATTATCAATAATACTAGACTGAATTGAGCACCAACTCAACCGGAATATTTTTCTTCATATCAACTTACGTTTAGAATTTATTTCAGATTTTCATCTTCAAAATTTAAGTTATGTCTATAGTACTTGAATCAAGATCTGATATTTTCTTCTATTAAGGATATCCAAGTATCTTTTACAGTTTGGTATACAGACTATTCAATCATTTTTAATCATCAAATTTGTAAATTAAATTGCGTGAGAAAAAATTTAAAAAAAAATCACGAGTTTGCACGGAATTATTATTTTTGTAATATTCGTTGTTTATGAGTACATAATTGAAATTGTTTAAACTTTCGGAAACCTAGTTTTTTAGGCATGAAATCGATTTCTCGTAAAATTCTGAATATGAATAAATTTGTTACCATTCCAGACAAACGATTTTTATGGTGAAAACTTTATTATTCATAATTTATTCGTAGATCCTAATTTTCAAAAATTACAATTTTTAAATTATTCCATCAATCTTCCTCCGAAATGACTTTTTAATTTCTTTTCAGATTTTTTAAATGTTTGCTAACCCTTTAATACTAGATTAAAATTGAGATCAGCAAAGTTTAAATAATAAAATCGTTTATATAAAATCTCCAAAAATAGCAAAAGTTCTTGGATATCCTTAACCCATAATAACAGTGCAATGGCCATAAAATCTACCCCAAAAAGCCAAAAAATACATCTAAAAAAAAATGAAAAAAGACACGAACCAGTAGCGACGCCCTCACCTGATGTGAACCAGGTGGTGGGTAGAGTGTCGAGGGTTGATGGGAGTAACGATTGTCCCAAGGTGGTGGTGGTGCATGTGGTAATGGATTTATACTAGGCTGTGAGGATGGCCTTGCTGGCGGTTGATTACTTAAGTTTGGCCACGGTTGATTACTACTAGACATTGCAACACCAGATCCACTCGGTGAATTTGCCGATACACTTTGGGCTTGTGATGGTGGCTGCTGTGGTGGATGTGGCTGATGTGGTTGATGTGGTGGATGTGACGGATGTTGCTGATGCTGATGAGGCGGATGTGGCTGCTGTTGTGTGGGTGGTGGTGGTGGCTGTTGATTTGGATATGGTACCCTGTTGTTAGCACTTCCAGTTACCTGATTATACTGATTACCACCACTTGGCCAGCCTGGATAGGGTGGCCGTTGCTGATTGTACTGGGGATACTGCTGATCTTTGGTAAAATCTGGATGTCTTCGAGGCTGGGTGGGTCCTGGTGGTGGGGGTGGCATGTTTTTATTGGCACCACCTGGCAAAATACATTTATTCATTGATGTTTAATCATCCAATTGTTTTGACGTAAATTTACATTTTTTGAATAATTTTTTTAAACATTTGATATTCTTATAGCCTGGGAACACGAATGGGTTTCGATGAGAATGTCGAGATATCCTCATTCAAACTTGAATAAAAAATTCAACACAAAGATTTTAACATTTTTAGTCAAATGCACTAATTACCTAGAAAATTGAATATTTAACAAAATTCTAAAAATAATGATGAAATTGGTGAATAATTTTTAAAAAATGTAGTTTATTTTCAATTTTTTGTTGGTTAACTTTTAAGGATCGAATTTCTCAATTAAATTTATATTTAATTGCAAAAATTACTTTTTTTAAATATTTGATGAAAATCTCAAGATAAATTTTTTTCTCAAAAGCACTCATAACCCAGAGAATTTGATATTCAAAAAAATTTGAGGAATAAAAATAAAATTCATCAATGATTTTTCGAAATTTTAAGACGATTTTACTGAGGATTTTAATTGAAAAAAAAAACCAACAAATGAAAAATAAATGGAGACAGACCTGCTGGCACGTTCGATGGGTACATTTGGCCACCTGGTGGTGTGCCATAGCCAGCCTCCTGACGATAGTAATCCTGGGGACATGAGTAAGTTGGATTTGCCGGGGATGGTGAGGGAGATGAGGGCTGGCTCGTTGATGGGGGCTGATTTTGAGCTGGCTGAGGATAATTCGCTGATCTACCTGGGGGCGTTTGACCCGGGGGATAACCCGGCTGCTGGGGGCCACTGTATCTGTTGTACATGTCTTGACCTGGCCCACTGTTTCCTGGAATGTTTCCACCTGGGTACACCCTTGAAAGATAAAGAAAAGCAAACATTAATGAATCATTTCATTAAAAAAATGTTCAGTTTCCATTTTCCATTTTTTTCATTAAAAAAATCCTTTATTCCCACTACTGATATTCATTTCTCAATTTTCATTTGCAAAAATATTTACTAAAATCTCATTATGGAATTAATTAATCACTTTGCTGTGAATTATTTTATTTTTCATTATTTGTTTCGTAAAATGTTCGCCAATAATTGATCGGAAAATTAATCAATCATGCGTTTAAATGTCTGTTTTACGATCTTTTGAATAAAAAATACCTGTCAGGTTCAGAGACATACGGAGGATAATGAGATCTCGGTGAATAAGGCTGGTTGAATTCACCCTGTTGATTCATTGGACCTCCCTGCGGTCGAATATACTGCTCCTGTGGATAATTCTGGTACGATCCAGCATTCTGATAATTTCCCTGCTGCATACCCTGATGGGGCGATGGTGCACTACTCTGACTCGGCGGTCTCGGGGGTGGTGGTGTGTAGTCAGACGGTGGTCCACCCTGATTGCCACCCTGATAATTGCTCTGATAATTTCCATAACCGTCCATTGAGGCACTACTCGATCCAGCTGCTGGGAAAGAGTCTTGGGAATTAGAGGAGCCTGTGAAATAAATAAGGAATGATTTAATGATGAGGATGATGACAAATAAAGTCATGATGATAATTAATTCAAGGGATAAGTATTTATTCTGCGAGGGAGATTTTATGAATAAATTCATGAATTTTTGAATTATTCTCAGAATAATAGAATGAGAATTTCTTTTGAAAGAAATTAAATTATTTTGCTTAAAAAATCTTTGAAGTGTTTTTTTTACGAATGAAGAGTGAAATTATCCCAAAAAATTTTTTTTAGATTTTTCCTGAATTCGTTTTTTCCGTAAATAATGATCCCTCAAATCACATTTGATTAAATTATTTAAAAAATGGATGAATTCAATGAACAACATGAAGAATACTCAGATGAAAATAACGTTTCAATAATCATTAACATCTGGAAATAATAAAAAATGATATTCACCTGGAGATGGAACTGATGCAGTGCCCTTAGACCCCTTTTTCTTAGATCCTGCCTCAACTTGATTTATAATCGGTTGTGGATCAACTCCACCTCGATCGAAGTGACACTCATACGTCAGCAAATGCTTTGTATAATGTTTACGAAGTGTGTACGCTGCACTACTACTCGCGCCAATGCCCAACAATCCAGCAATGTCTTTCCACGTTTTGTTCTTCGTCACCTATTCATCAAAATTTGTTCAACACATTTTCCAGTTGGACATGCATTGAAGAGTAAAATTGAGAAAAAACATTCTACACAGAGTGAAAAAATTGTCATCATTGAATTTTTAATCAAGACCAAAAAAAAAAATCCAACAAACTCATTTTCTTCGTTGGAAATTATTGAAATCACAAAAAAAAATACCACGAAATATTGGTGAATTCCTGTGGTATCTTTGTCTCATGCAGAACAGTCGAAGAAAGGAATTTATAGATATTATTCTAAATGGGTTACCGTCTCATCGGATTTGTTATAATTAATGTTTTTCTATCTCCATCTCAACAATAGAATAATTCCATTTAGCACCCAGGTTTTTCGTAGGTGTCACGGTGTGTTAATTATCCAAACACCTTGTGAAAAACTACTTCAAGGATAAAATGTTAAAAATCTGCTCGTTTTATATTTTATTCATAATTTTGTTCTGTTTTTTTGTTCATTAAAACTTGAATTTTTATATTAACTGAGAAATCATTCAAATAGAGAGCTTGAAAATTGAAAGGACGATTCACTAGGCAATGAGATCATGCTCAAAACGTGCGACAACGTGTGAAATATAAAAATGAAAAACAATAACTGAAGAAAAGCGCGTTTGTAAGATCGATTTTCTGGTGTGGAGAGGTGGGACGAGATGAGCTTTTGATTTTTTAATGGATTTAAAAAATAATATCGCTAAAAATGGTTTCAAACAAAATATTGAAAACATTCTAAAAACATTTTACCAAAATTCTGAAATTAATGGGATCTAAATCTATTATTTTTCCTATTCTAAAGCTTTATCTGGAACTACTGAATCCATTCGAAATTGTGAGAAGAATTTTTTGCAGAAAATTAAATTCCACACAAAAAATTGAAAAAAATCCGTCTAAACCCCCAAATACCAAAAAAAACCTTTAAAATAATTTCCAAATTCTACTCCCAATTCATCTCCAGTTCTCCACCCCTTCCCCACCGAATAATTCACACAACAATCGATAGTCTTGGACAGAAAACACTGAGCAAACGGGTAAACGTAAAGACCAAAAACAAAATAGCAGACGAGAGAAAAAAATTCGTAAAAAAAATCACAAACAAATGATTAAAATACAGATTCAAGAATGAAAAAACGTCAAGAACACCGAGGGCTAGATGGAACTACACTGCACCTTGCATACCTCCATGAAGCCCCCCCTTTCCTTCACGTAGAGATAAAGACGAAACAGATCGAGGGGGTTCTTGGAGATGGTAGGACAGCTGGTTATAGGTGTTCTCCGTTCCTCCATGAATGACACTAATTTGTCCAGCCAATTTCGTCGCTCGGGGGAGTCGTCCATCTCGTAGAGTTTCGCCAGGCTATCTGGCTTCTGAAAATTCATCGAATCCTCATTTTAATTCATATTCGGGTGAAATTAATCAATTAATTCTCAATTTCAAAGCATTATAATTGCGTTAGGAGCTGCATAAAATTAATAAAGGGATTCAAATTATGAGTGACAATAGGTTACATCGAATGCATTTTCATGAAGGGTTTCCGAAAAATTTAGAAAATAGAGTGAATGATTTTTTTTCCTTTTGTTATCGACTTTCTACAGAATCGAAGGGAATGAAAGTGACGTTATCTCGATAACGAGTGGTTGTACAGGAAAATATCATAAGACTTCATTTGTAGCTGAGGAAATTTCCCACAAAAAAGTCCTCTGACATTTTCCTACAAATCCAGTCATTTCTGAGATAATTTAAAAATTGATGTGACGAGATAAATCAACTAATTACGTTTTACCACTCAAAGACAAAGAATAGGATTTCATTGAAGAAAAGTCGTATCTACATAAAATTGATTATTAATTCGAACTATTTACATCGTTTTCCGTATTTCAACGCCAATTAAAGTTGAATGAAAAATGAATTCCGAGTGGATTTTATCTCAAAGGGATTGAGGAAAATTCTATCAGCGTTTACAAAGGAATGCACATGCCCATGTACCTCTGCACTGCTGGGAGAATTCTATTTATTACAAGGGACAACTACAAAGGACAACAATACCCTGGATTTAATGCTAGTCGTCAGAGTCCAAATAAATCGAATTATCTTATGGTCGCCGTTTTTTACATTAACGAAAATAAATAGACTAACTTGAATTTGAGGAGATGCGTGCGTGGGGATTATTTATATCAAGCATCGATCAAGCACGAGGAGAATTAAGTTTTTAATTTTAATTATGATAAATTTATTAACCTTAGATCTGTACGGGTCTTGAGGCACATGACTGTTAAACACCTGTAAATAATGTAAAAAATATTTGGAATGTCATATTTATAACTAATTATTATTTCAAAGTAATCGAAGATAATAACGAAGATGATTTTGGACATAGAAATGTAAATTACATAGTTTTTTATCTATTCATGAAATACTGCGAGTGAACTGCAAGTGAATTTAGCATTTATCTCAAGAACAATTAGATTTAGGAGAAAATGTGAGAAGACCTTTTCTGTGGTTCAAAAAAATTCCAACAAAAAATGTCTTCTCACATTTTCCCCTAGAACCGCTCATTACTGAGATAATTAATCAATTACTTCATTAATAATCTTTTTTTTTAAGTAAAAACGTGAAAAGTTCAATATTTACATTTTTTAAAGCCGACAAAGTTCTTCACAAAAAGTGTCACCCCTTCGATAATTAAAAATATCAAATTCTATTCATGTTTTGTCGCTTAATGAAGGAAATTAATCACTGCAGTTCATTTTCCGAATAAAAAATGAAATGAAAATTTGAGAAAAGAGATTAATAAACTTACAGGACTGGCTGGGGTGCGTGGCCAGCTGGGACTGTTGATATCGGGATACTCTTCGTGTATCGAATTAATGCTGGCTGCGCCTGGTGATGGTACTGTACTCTGCGGCGTAGCTGGATGACTGTGGTAACCACCAATCATGTCCTTGCGGATCTTTGGGGTGAATGCGGGGTCTTCGCCAGATGCTGCGGATACTCATATTTAATATTATCAAATTAGAGAGAGAAGTATGCAGGAGACGAGAGAGCAAAATGTACACTTCAGATTTTTTTTATATATTGAAACCTCATTCAATTGTTGATGAAATGAAATAATTTTTTTCCTCCAAAAATGCAGTTCTTTCTCCGTATGATGAGCCGAGATTGACCATAATTAATTAATTTACTCTTGAGTTATGAGTAATTATTAATAAATTGAATAAAAATTTTGGTTTTAAATTAAATTAATCAATTAATTTCTTGTATTTCTCCGAAAGTATTGAATTTACCCCTTGAAATTCTCCATAAAAAATATCTCACGTGTCCATTTGCTTCTTAAATTATTTAACCAGTAATTTTAAATCAAATGCCATTCAACAAAAAATAAATTCTCCCTTATCTCCAAAACTACTGAATTTAGCCCTTTAAATTCTGCATAAAAAATATCTGACCTATCCATTTGTTTCAGGGAAATTAACCGAATGATTCAAACACTAATTTCACTAATCTCCAATGACATTCACCAAAACCAAATTTCCCCAAAATCTCCCAACTGAATTAACCCCTCGCAATTCCCCCTAAAAAATTACCTGCAGAGGCATTTGACAAAGTAGACTGTTGCGACCCCTCGTCGATGCTGGTGCCATCAGGTCCAGTGGTAATAACCGAAGTAACAGTCCCACTAGACGTCGAAGTAACATTGATAGCAGCAGTGCCCGAAGCAGTAGTAGTAATTCCACTGTCATTGGAGGTATCCCCACCGATGTCCCCTCCCCCATGGCTGGTGGGCGTTGGTGCTGGAGCAGGATGTGAATTTGGTGTGGTACTTGGTGGTGGCATAGGGCTGCCCTCATGATTCAACGGTGGTGTGGCAGCTGGTGGATGTGGATGCTGAGGATGTGAGTGCTGTGGATATTGATGTTGAGATCCTTGATGTGGTGGATGATGTGGATGCTGTGGATGTGGATGTGAATGCTGTGCATTCTGATGTTGATGCTGATGCTGTTGTCCAGGTGGTCCAGTGGCTGATGGCCCTGGTGGGGGTGGTGGTGGTGGTGGTGGAGCTGGTGAATGCTGCTGCTGCTGCTGTTGTTGCTGTGAATTGCCAACGTGATTGGGCGATGGAGGTGGTGGACCCATCGAGCTGGCTGGTGGTCCCATATTACCAATTCCACCAGTTGTCATTGGTGTATTCGTTGGCACACCACCACTGCCACCATAATTGACACCACCCTGGGATGGTGGAGGGGGTGGTGGGCCTGGACTCGGTGGCATACCAGGTGGTACACTGTTGAAACCCATTTTGTGGGGATAGGGTGGATATTGCACCAAATTATTTGGTCTGGCCGGTTGATACTGATTATTGGGAGCTGCTGGTGGATGCTGGGAATTTGTTGGCGGTGGATAGCCCTGTCCTGGAAATGACATGTGTGGTCTTGGTGGTGGATAACCACCTGGGGTTTGTCCAGGATAACCACCGCTCTGTGGTGCATTACCACTTGCTGGATAACCCATACCAGCACCACCCATTGGACCCATTGGTCCACCAATGCCTGTTGGCGGTGTTGGTACACCACTGCTGTTCATTTTGTAGCCATGCATGTGTCCAGATGGGCCAAGGGGCTGCTGATAACCACCCTGGGTTGCCATTGGTGAGTGACTCATTCTTGCTGGGCCACTACCATCGGACTGGCTTGACGATGGCCGAGGTGGCATCTGGACGTTTTGCTGGCCAACAGCTGGCGACATTGAACGTGAACCAGTCGAGCCGGTTGGTGATGGTGTCGGTCTCATCCCCTGGGAATTTGGTGTTCCTGGACCCGCGGGCCCGTTAGAACTGTCATTACTATTTTGACCAGAGAGTTCCTGGAACAAGAGATTTTTTTTTGGGTGCGTTAGGCTGGTGTGGGTGACAGGGGATTGAGAGTGAATAATTTATTCTATTGGAGGGTTCAATTAATTTATTTCAGGGGCAGGTTGATTCAACTTCGGGGATTTCCTGATGTATTTACGTGAATCTGAAGGGAGTGGAGAGAGGGAATTCCTCGTTTAACTTGTGGTCAAGTCAAATTAATTAGACTGAATTATTTATAAAACGAAATTATTAGTTGGAATACAACATTAACGTGTCATAATCCCTTTTTCAGATCTAATAAATTGCTGATTTGATTCCAACGATAGAGGATATATTTAGAACGGGTAAGGACTGAAATTAATTCCATTGAAATGCAAAATTTGCCTCAAACTCCCTCCAAAACAAAAAATTTATTTCTAAATCTTTGAACCCACCCCTATGTGCTAATCACTCCTATTAGACCTCTCTACGCCAAAATCAAATCACCCAATTTAACTTCAGAATCAGTCTTCACTGAAGTACACCCAGAGGAATGCTTACGTGAACTCAATCAACTTCTTCCAATTAAACTTGATTTTAATTAGAATTTTCATTCATGTCCCGAATGAATACTTCTTCAAACCAAAACAAATGTTCCTTCAATCCAACCGAACGAAGCCATTATTTGGAACCCAACATTAAAATTCAATAATCCTCCATTGAGATCAACTAAATTCTTCATTTCATTCCATCAATAGAGGATTTATTTCAACCAAACAAGTACCAAAATAAACTCCATTCAAATGCTTAATTTCCCTCAAGCCCCTCCAAAGCAAAACAAAAAATATATATATTCTCAATCCCTCTGAACCCACCCCCATGTACATCCCTCTATTCCAAGATACCCCAAAATAACAAACTGAAATCATTTAATTCAACTTCAGAGGAATGCTTGAATAAACTTCACTCAAACTGAATTTTCGTTATTGTTTTGATTCACCTCAAATGAATCCATCTTCAAAACAAAACAAACGTTTCCTCAATCCACCTAAATCCTCCCTTATTTACAAACCAAAATAATTACTTGGCACCCAACATGAGAATGCAATAATCCTCTATTGAGATCAAGCAAATTCTCCATTTCACTCCGACAACAGAGGATTAATTTCCACAAACAAACAAGTACCAAAATAAACCCCATCCAAACCCTTAATTTCCCTCAAACCCCTCCAAAACAAGATCACAAAAAAATTTATATTATTCCCAAGCCCTCTGAACCCACCCCCATGTGCCAACCCTTCCCAAAATATTAAAATAACAACTTGAAATCACTCAATTCAACTTGAGAGCAATGCTTAAATAAACTTCACCCAATTAAATTCAATTTCCATCATCGTTTTGGTTCACCCCAACTGAATCAACCCTCAAACCCAAACAAATGTTCCT